ACAGTCGGTACCTCGCGTCCTGTCAGCTCCCGCCTTCTCAGAGCGTGGGCAGGGCCGCGGCAGCCTCGGGCTCCTGCAGGGCTCGCCCGGTGCCGCTGCCCTTTGCCAAGGGGCCTGTAGAGCCCCGAGGGCGACCCTCCGGGCCGGCGGCTTCCTCTGAGCGCCTCCTCCGGGGCCTGGGAAGGTGCTGGAGCACCTTCCTAGCAGGGTCAGCCTGTGGATTTAAGGTCACGCTTGTGGTACAAAGAATTCTGACCGTCCGTGTGCCGGAAGGGCTGAACTGACGGCTTCAGAGCCGCCCGCTGGGCAGCCTCCACCAGCGCCAGCTTGGATTGAATGGGCTGAGCCTTTTCTCACTTGAGAAGAGACCTTTGTACTGTCGATAACCCCTTCCCGCTTCAATTGCAGGCCATGCGAAAGATGCTCTTAGTCTTGCCCAGATGCAGGAGCAGACCCTGCAGCTGGAACAGCAGACAAAACTGAAGGTATGCTGGAATTTGTCATGTGTTGCACAGCCAGCCCATCTCGGGCAACCGCCAGCTCGGCGGGGGGCATAAGTTGAAGTTTCATTTTTCTAGTAATCTGCAGAGCTTGCTGAGTTTTTCTTGTTGCTGCTCAGCTTCAGCAAATAATAGTTACTTTCTGGAAGGTGAAGTGCAAGCTGATTTGGCCTATTCTCAGAGGTTTTTTATGGTTTTGTTTATAATTTGCACGTGTTGAGCATCCTATCACCACCATTTTTAGGGAATGATAAAGGGTTTCTGCAGGGAACTGTAAAAGCTGGAAAACAGGCATCTGGGTTTTTTATAAACAAACTTGGGGATTGATCAATTGTTGGTTGGTTTGTTTTTTTTTTTTAAATAAACCTGTATCTAATCCTGAAATGGTCAATTGTGAGATTTTGTATGGTCATATTTTGTGATCATATTTTAACTTTCTTGTGTCGTCAGCTTTGCAGGGTACTAATCTGATTACAGATAGATTTCTTAGAATGTAATCGTCGCTAGCAGTTCTCTGTAGGATGGTGTATTGGGATCATTTGTGATGATTATTTCTTTGCCTCGATAGGAGTATGAAGCTGCCATAGAACAACTGAAGAATGAGCAGATACGGGTACAGGCAGAAGAGAGACGAAAAACACTCAGTGAAGAAACAAAACAGCATCAAGCAGTAAGGGAATGAGGGGGAAGCCAAGTGATGGGAGACCTTGTTTGTGTCCTCCTTTACGAAAAAGGCAACAATGCATTAATTGCCTCTTTTTGGGGGTGGGGGAAAGGGTGTCACAGGCAGCCATAGATTTGAGGCAATTCATAGACTGAGCCTATCTTCTACCATAGCTTTGTAATGTTAAACTTGGTTTGTAGTTACATGCAACTTGAACTTTTGTTACCAAATTCTTGAACGTCCAAAGGAAATGGTAGTAATAGTAGAATAAATAGAATAGTAGTAACGGTATAATAGTCTTTATTGTGTGCTCTTTGAAATTTTCCTAAAGAAACTTTCAGGGAAGTGCTGTTGAACGTGCTGAGATGCACTTGTTTGTGTCTTAACAGCTGATGGCATTAAAAACTCAAAGATTACTGGCTTATCAAGTGTATGTGTTAGCCTGGATAATGAAATGTCTTAAGTTATTTGGATTTCAGTCTTAAGTAGCCTTAAACCCTGTTTCTTCCAAATTTGATCTTTTAGACAGGAAAACTTATCTTAAGTGGAGAAGTCGTGCAAATCTGAGAGTTACCATAGGCTGTTGGGAGCCATGTTGGTGCTTTCTGGTCTGTTTTAGACGTACTACTGAAATCAGGGAAATGTGAGCTATTGGCATAAAAGCTAGCTCACATGTGGTGACATTTTACTTGGAGAGCACGGGAAGTAGAGGATCGATTAATTCTAATTGATTATCTAGCTTGGGAAGATAGCTAAAACTGCTTGTTTGGCACGTGTTGCTTTTTATCCCATCAGAGTTCGGACTTTGAACGGGGCTGGCTCAGGAAGCAGCTTCACAGTTATCTGCTCTGTTCATGAGTTAGCTCTTGAACTCTTGCAGTTCACAGGGCATCATTTGCAGTGAAAGCAAACTCGAGCACAATTTATGTCTGAAGTGCTGTGCTTTATAGCTGTTGAGGAGAAAACTTGCAGGCAGTTCTGTCTGTGTACTTGGAATAGAGAATATTATCATCCCTTATACAGAGTCCTCCTTGCTAAAGGATATGGGCCCTCAGTTGAGTGTAGATGACAGGGGTTTATTTGCCAGTTGCAGTGGAAAATTGATGAGAAATTAATGAGGAACAAGAAAATCAATCAGAAAGAGCTCATCTGACAGGCAGCATGTTTTGACAGTTCTATTGCTTGCAATCGCCAGCCCAGTTAACGTGTTTTAAAACATGAAAAACATGTTTTTCCCAATAAAGGAAGTCTCTTTTGCTGGGTCAAGGAAGGCTTGGTCTTTGTTGATATATCTGTGATACCTTAAAATGAAGTCAGACTATATAGATTCCTCAGCATAGAGGAGTTTTTTGTGCTGGCTGAGGATGTTTTGCCCCAAACTTACCCCTGTTCATATTCAAACCCAGGATTATTTTTGGTTTCTGTGGTGTCAATTGTTTTTCCCTCTGCATGTTCCAAACCTCATTGCCCTCAAGACTAGCTTCTCTCTTAAATGTCTAATCTTTATATTCTGAATACTCTTTTTTTTTTTTTTTTTTTTTTTTTTTTAAGAGCCCAATACCAGGACAAATTGGCAAGGCAGCGCTATGATGAACAGATGCGACAGCAGGTATGATAACTTCCTTCTCTAGCCCAGCTGGCAACTGTGTAGTGGCTTTCTTAAGTCAAAGCAGTGATCTGGAACTGTGCCCCCTCGTGCTGGCCAGAGGGCTGATGCACAGTTACTTTCATCTTGCTTGGCAATGACAGTGCTGGCCAGGCAAATCAAAAGTCAGGAATTAGGACAAAGTGGCTGGGAGCATGGGACTAGGAGTGTGGATCTGGGAGATGAGGAGAGGAAGAATGCACTTCAACCTGAGCACTAGCTGCTTGAAAACATTTGTGGCACTTAAGCTTACACAAATACCTACTTGACTGTGTTCTCGTGATTTTAATTTGTATTCTGCTGTCCTCTGCCTGTAGCAACTTGCTAATGAAGAGAATCTGAGGAAGCAGGAAGAATCTGTACAGAAGCAGGAAGCCATGAGGCGTGGTAAGCCAGTAATTTTTCTTCAGTTAGTGACAGAGTGATGGACATATGAGTTCTCTGTGCTCGTCTGATTTCGTGTCCATATTGGTTGATGCTCCATTAGAGTCATGTGTTATTGGCATCTTGGCAATTAACGGGTAAATCCCAGTAGTACTAGAACTACCGATTGCTTCCCAGATTAGTTTCTGAAGTGGCTGCACTCCTGAACATCTGCCCTGTGGTACTTGGATTTCCCAATGAACTGTCAGCATCTCCTGATATAGCAGCTGAAATTCTGATTTTATACTTGAACAATCTAAAATAGAACTAGTTTTGAGGAGAGAAGAGAAACAAAATAGCTCCTGGGAGGAGCGGTTGAATCTGTGTCACTCAGTCTCCATTCACTGTTTCCAGTAGAAAAGAAAAGCTGAGTAATGAAGTTTGAGTCTGAAACTTGCTTTGTTTCTTTTCGTTGTAGTGGAGTTACCGGAATCACTGGATTCGCAGAACTCCAGTGGGACTCCACTAGGCACAAGCCTTAGAAGCATAAGGCAGTTTGTGTAGGACCAGATGGGCTCGGGAAGGGCTGGTTTGCTCCCAACACAGCACTGGAATGCTTTTTGTCTGCTCCTTGCTGCCATCTAGTGTACTCTGTGGTTGTCGGTAGCTTTGAGGGAAGTGTAACAACCAGATAACAAAGCCCAGTGGTGAAACCCTGTAGGAGAGGGTGATTTTACTCTTGTAGTATCCACATACCCCTAGGCACCAAGACAGGAATGTCAGGGTAACCTGTCCAGCATTCAGGTATCGAGTAACTGGGTGGTGCAGTCAGGATTTCTTGCAGTGATGGTGAAGGTAGAGGGTGTTGGCTGTGAAGTCCTCATCTCCTGGGTTGTTCTTAGGTTTCTCATTCATTCTCCATTCACGTCAGTCTTGTGTGTGTCACAGTTCTGTGTGGCTGAAGTTACTGAGCTCCCAAAATCCTGTTTGGGGCAACATTTGACAGGCCACTCCGTTTTGCTTCTCTTCCTTACAAGCAGTGTACGTTACACTGTGTTTAGTTACTTGTCCAGGGTGGTCCTTCGCTGTCTGTAGCTGTCACCCTTCCTCTCAAACGATGTTGATGAGCAGCAGCAGTGCCTAGCACTGTGGTTTTTCCACCTCTGTTGCTTTATCCCTTATTGTCTAGCTCATCTCTGACTGAAGTTTCCCCCGAATAATTATTTTTTTTTCCCCTGAACTTCCACAACTGAACCATGATTATTTTCTCACAGCGTGCCATCTGGAGCAGGCCACCTATTTGTTGTGTGTGTGATCATTTTGAGCACAAAGGGAAAATTCCTTGTCTGTATTTGTAATACTGTACTGATCGGCTGCCTTTTGGGGGAGGGTGTGAGGGAATTATAATCTTCAAGTCTGCTGCTATGGGACCACACTCAGCTCTTATGAAGCCAGGTTGAAGCAATGCACCTCTTTCACCTGCCTGCTACCTGGGATTAAGGCAGCCCAAAAGATTGTCCTCTAATTTTTTTTTTTTTTTTTTTTTTTTTTTTTGGTAAAGCTACCGTAGAGCGAGAGATGGAGCTGCGGCATAAGAATGAAATGCTGCGTGTTGAGGCAGAGGCCAGAGCCCGTGCCAAGGCCGAGCGGGAGAACGCAGACATCATTCGGGAGCAGATCCGCCTAAAAGCTGCTGAACATCGCCAAACGGTGTTGGAGTCCCTCAAGTATGTGCGAGTCAGGAGAAGTGGGTTGCCTTGCTGCTTTTGCAGATTTCTCCCATGTAGGAAACCTTGCTGTTTATTCCTCTAAGCTCTGAGGAATATCAGAAATTAGTTTGTACACTCTTGTCCTCTGAACAAGAGGAATTACATTAGAGCAGCCTCTTTTACTTGTCTTGCTGCATTGTCATCTGAATGTGAACCAAAGAGACTGTAGAGTTGTGAATTTTATACAATTTTTCTAACAGATTACTTCAAGCCTTATTTGCTAATGTTGAGGCTCAATTACTCTGAAATCTGAGTTCTTTTCACTTTCTGAACGTATGCCATGAAGGTATAAAGCAGTCTGTCTTTGAAGGGGTGAGCATTTAAGTTTGTAATTTGTCAATCTTAGGTCCTCTGGGATTTTTGAATAAAAAAAGCTTTAGAATTAGATACCTTTTATTACAGTTCAGCACCAATAATGTATTAAAGAAACTGATATCATCTTAATGCCAGACACTTTGGATTTAACCCCAGATCAGCTGTGGATACCAGGTGATTAGAAATGTATTTGCCATGCTTGTTCACGTTTCAGTTCCCAGGTGAGCCCTCAGTTAGCTTTGACTGCTCTGAAGATGATGGTTATAAAGTTGTCATGGAAATGGTTTCAGTTCAGCCTTTGAAATACCTTTCTTGCTGTTTGCTTGCCACAGGACAGCTGGGATGCTCTTTGGAGAAGGATTCCGTGCTTTTGTAACAGACTGGGATAAAGTTACAGCCACGGTAAGATTGTGACATGTATCAATAACTTCCAGTAAAGTCTGTAAACGTGTGTTAAACTAACTTCTTGCTCTGATACATTTATAAACTGTAAACCACGGCAGGAATTTGCTGCTTACTTAGTGCTCTCTGCAGTCCTCGTTTAAGGAGGTAACTGTGCTTCAGATTTGCATTCAAACTATTTCTCGTCTTCTCTGTACAGATAATTCACTTTCATTGGTCACAAAAGTTCTGGTTTTGATCAACAGCATATAATTGTCTTATCTTTGGAGGCACCATCACCTCTTCCAAACCTGAAAGTTTACCAGTTATTACAAGTAATAGGTGCAGATTCTGTGAAAAAAGTAGATGAGTCTCTTTCACAGATTTTTTTTTTTTTCATTGTTTTCGAATTTGCTGTCTCTTATGTATGTAGGGGAGTAGGGGTTTTATCTAACAGCCAATTAGAGATAACTGCAGATTTGTTTCTTTGAGACATTGAATGCAATTTTTATGTTTGACTAGGCTCTGAGCTGACAGATTTTCATTCAGCTTTTTAATGATTGATGTTCACTGTGCTTTCATGATGCATGAACATCTATAGGTGTTTATAGGTGAACAGAGAGTTATGTTTAACACTCCTATTAGAGGATTTCTTTGCCAGGGGTGGGGTTTGGGGAGCAGGGATCTAATCCCCATTTCTCTCTACCCCCATTGTATTTTATGTGTTTGCAATTAAACTCCAAACTGGGAATGTCTTTTTAGGAGTATTAGGGAAAGTATTGGAGATGTGTAGTAGTTGATCTGGGGGACGCAAAAGGGGTTTGTTCCCTCTCAACCAGTGGTCTCAAATATTTTTTTGATCCTGTACCCCTTACAATAAAAAAAAAATAAATTCTGAGAACGCTTCCCCAGAAAATAGTAAGAGAAGCGTCATTAAAGATTGTTTTGTTTTTAAATTATAACATTAAGGTACATGATTTTAAGGATTTCACAGAGAGAAAGTCTTCAGTATTCCCCTTTTGTGTGCATTCTGTCCCTGAGCTGCAATTTCTTCCCACCAAGTGAGCTGCCAAGAACTCGCCTCCTACTCTCATCCCAGGTGGACAGCAGACAGTCAGCTCTCTGCGACCAGGGAGTCTGAGGGTACTGTTTTCATCTATAAAAGAGCACTCTTCGTCTGTGGAACTTCAAGACCCTGCAGGACATTTATCTAAAAGTCATTTTGCCGCTTATCTCACAACTTAGTATCTAATTTTGATGTAGCCTAGAAAGCACTTAGAGAACTGTTACACGTGGACCAACGTTTTGCACAGGACTGGCAGTGACTTCTTATGGACATAAAGTTGTTTCTCAGTGTACTACTTATAAAAAAACCCCAAACTTTACAGTGAAAATATATTTTTAGTAGCATGGCTTGTTAAAATGGACGTTTTGCTTTAAGTCAGTCACCACCACCTGCTCCACCCTCCGGTTTTATACACACAGCCTGATACAAAAGACACTTTGCCTGAGTGCCCTGGGGAGAACAAGACATGCTTTTAGTGGATCCTTTTGTGATCTGTAGGCTCTTCCTGGAATGCCTGCAGTATTCAGAGCCTTTTACAGATTAGTCCTTGGTGCTTTTAGCTGCGTATTCTCTTGACCCAGATACTGTTTTCCTGCATTATGGTCATTTTTGCTTCTGACAAGCTCTTGTCTTGTGAATTTGGGACATTTAGCTTAAAAAAAAAAAAGTAAGTATATTTTTGGAAAGGAAATAACACAGCTGGAACTCATATTTTCTATTGCTTTGAAAAATGACTATAAGGTAAGAATTAACCAGTTATTTTAGGGTTCCTCTAAATCAGCCCTGGGCTTTCAGCTCTTCCTGCCTGCTGTAAAGGCTGCTCTTTTTCTGCCTCTTCTCCTCCAAGCAGAACCCCAAAGGTTCTGCTCAAAAGTGGGGGTTTTTTGGGTAGTTTGAGGTTTTTTTAGTGGAATTCAGTTTGCTTCTCAGTCAGAGATTCATTCATTTGCTAGCTACTTCATGATAAACAGATAAGCCCTGTAATCAGACTGGTTTGTGGAGCTGGCATAGTAATGGGGTTCTGTGAATGTGAGACTCGAGTAATTCTCCTGTTTTGATACACAGCTGTCAGTCTTAAAGCTGTATTTCTGTCTTGTAACATGAATGTCAGTGAAGTCTAAAAGTCTGAAATACTTCTCTGCCTGTGTGGATCTGATGTATCAACCTGTAACTTTGCTTAGTACCAGAAGTTGCTAAAGCAGGTGGTGTGGGAGTGCATGAGGTTGTTTTGTCGTGGTACCTTGTTTTTAGAGGGAGGCTGCTAAAAAGGTGAAACCTCTTTTGTGTTCTTAAGTCCCTGTAAACTATGATGAATCAGGTCAGCTTACTCTTTGCATCTTAAAACTCACAGTTCTGGACCGTTCATGTTTCCATCCAAAGCAAAGGTGATGTCACACGTTTAAGCGGAGTGAAACGGAACAGATGGTGTCTCGTGGTTTATTGAACAATGCCATCCTTCTTGGCCTTGAGGCTTTTGACCTTGTTCTGCACTTGTAGTAAAAGTCTGCTTGCTTTACAATGCTGCAGCTTGTTCTTTTGTCTATCTGATCTTGCTCTGATGTGGATTATTGACATCTAGCTGCAAGCTGAACACAACTGCTTACTTGCACTCAGGACTGCGTGGAACAGTTGGCCTCTTCCCAAGCAGTTTAAAAGTAGTGCCCTTTGTTCCCTTGTATTTTCAGGTGAATAGGACTTCTGTTAGATCAACTGACTCACTTGCATATGTACAAACAGATGGAACCGGAGACTTATGTTTGTGCACCTTAAGTAAATTTTCATAAAACTTCTACAAAAATTATCTGGGCTATCAGTCACTTGAGAATTAAGAAAACAATCCTGTACATGCTGAAGATTTCTGTAAAGTCTTGATTTCAAATCCTGTCCTGAAACGTTATTCTTAGCAGCCTCCTGGAGTGTCTTTAGCACTGTCAGTACAGCTCGTTGTCCGTTGTGACAGCCAGCTATGGTGGAAGAAGCTGCCTGCAGGGCTCTTGGTTTAATATGAGCCAACACAGCGCTGAGCCGAGCAGCAGCCATAAACCACAGAGAGGTCTGGAGTCTTTCTGCTTCACTGGCAAATCGATGGGGATGTTTCGTGTTCTGGGATTTCTGATGCAGTGAGGGTAATTCCCATGGTGCTTTTGGCTTTGCAGCTCCTCTTGAGTACTTATTTTCCTGTTGTGTTGGGTCTGGCATGACTGATCACCTTAAGCAAGTGTGCCCTGGCTAGTCCTTTTTGTTCCCTACTGCATCCAGCCTTGGTGGCAGCCACAGTTCAGATGTTTGGCTTGGCATCTTTCATTCAGCATACGTGTTCTTGTGTGGTGATAGGGGATGGTCTGTCAGACGGCACCTGGTTGACATGGGTCTGTTCTTAACTGCCTGCACAGATTTCCTGGAAAAAAACCCAAACCACGCCACTTTCCCTATGTGCTTTTGTTCATAACACTGGAAGCTTAAAGCTTCAGCATTATGGCTGATGGTGTTTTCTCACAGGAGGTTTATACCTCTGGTTTTGTAGCAAAGCCTCGTGGCTGTTGGTCTTAATACATATTCTGAAAAGCCACCCCTGTTTTGAGCAGGGAGTACATAACTCCTGGATATGTGACTATGTGCATTACTTGTGCTTCCTCTGCCTTTCACGCTGTGGGGTGTAAGAGCCCTAAATGCCTTATGAATAGGGAGTGTGAGACCTTGACTGTCTGAACAGGGATAAAATGTCTTACCATAAATAAACTCCTCTTGGTCAGCATTTGTCCTGAATCTTAATTCCCCACCACAGGGCATGCTACATACAAAATAACACTGCCTTGCCAAGTGTTTTTCCTAATCCTTCCTCCTTTTCCTTGCAGGTGGCCGGCCTAACCCTGCTGGCAGTGGGTGTTTACTCTGCCAAGAACGCCACGGCAGTAGCGGGGCGATACATAGAAGCACGTTTGGGCAAACCTTCCCTGGTGAGAGAAACCTCACGCATTACGGTGCTGGAGGCACTGAAGCATCCCATCAAGGTAAAGTTTATCTTTGTGTTGCGCTCAGCCTTGAGGATGCAGCACTCCTTTTGCAGCTCTTTGTGTCAGGCAGGGAGCTGCCCATGGGTTTGTGAATAAACGTGCTGTTTGAGATGGCACAGGGGGGCCGAGCTCAGTTGTCATTTCCCGTGATCTTTTTGTCCAGTTGTGAAAACTGTGGTTGATTTCTACACGTCAGTAATTGAATTTGCCCTCCCTAGGTTGGTAAGCGTCTTGCCAGCAAGGCTCACGATGCCCTTGAAGGAGTTGTTCTCAGCGTGAGTACTCGATTTTGCTATCTTGGTCTGTGAAGGATGATTTTGGAATCTAAATAAGAACGGCTGTTTCCTTCCACTCGCTTCAAAAGCTGTAATTCCAGTAATTCTGGAGACATAGCACCCTTGGGGCACTGAGACTGTAAATAAGCTCCTGTGTTGAGTGTGACAGGCTTTAAGCACTCTGTTAACCTTTTTTCCCCTGTGCAAAGCAGTTGGAAGTCTCAGTTCAGTCCTTGCCATGCTGTAGTTTTTCTCTGTAGTCAGCATATTAATATGCAGAATTCTACTTGTCTCAGTAATTCTTAACAGATTAGATGAACCTAGATCTGCTTGTAGACCAAAAAGCCGAAGAAGTGTGTGCATTTGCCCGTCTTGTGAATGATTAACTTGCTAATTAGGGCTGCTTCTGTATATTTGCTTCTGAATGTGATTCCTGGGTATCAGGCAAATTTAAGTGCTGCTTGAAGCTGCTGAGAGAACATGCTCCCTGCAGGAGTAGCTTGCTCCCAGCATCTCTGCAAACACAGTAATAAGTATGAACATGTTTACGACTTACTTGAAAGAGTTAGTGCTGCAGAGAGTTGCTTATGTTTTGATATATCCCTCCCAGGGCATCCAATAGGAAGTTAATATTTAGGTGTTACCAGTTCTTACAGTAGTTACTACGTGCTTCCTGCACGGCTGCTTTTTCTTATAAAAGAATTGTAGCCAAGTGGACAGAACATCAAATCAACTAAATCCTGGCATAGAAGGGGAAAAGACCCTGGTCCTGAGTAAGAAGCAACTGAAGTTAAGGCTTAAAAGCATGAGACTGTAGGAGCGCTGCCGACTTCTTGCTGGTACTATTCTGTGAAGCTGATAGATGCAGGTCTCTTGGTACTTTATGTTCCTTAAGTTTTAACCCTTCTCTTGCAGCCACAGTTAGAAGCACGTGTGAGAGACATTGCCATAGCAACAAGAAATACAAAAAAGAACAAAAGCCTTTACAGGAATATTCTTATGTATGGTCCCCCTGGCACTGGAAAGACGCTCTTTGCCAAGGTAAAACTCTGCCAAGATGGTGACAACCTGCATGTTGCCGGATGCTCTGAAAACTTCAGGATCTAAGCACCCTCCCTCATCTGAAATCTATTACTGTAGTATTGCATCAACATTGGGAACAATCTTGTGTCTCTGTTGGGAAGAGAGGAAAGGGCATCCAGCCTGCTTCAACTCTAAATTAGTACAGTCACTTGGTTTCTAGTGCTAAGCGTAGGCAGAAGAGCCCTTCCATCTGGAAAATGCACTTGGCAACTGTGACTTGTGAAATCACAACACCAGCCTGCTGTCTCATTTCCACCTCTGTTAATTTTGTGTACTTGTCTAAATAGGGTCTTTCCTGTTGTCGCTTGCCAATCCCAAGGCAGAGCTAGGTATGGCTTCACTCTGTACACACGCTATCAGGGTGGGTTTTGCACGGATTTGACTCAGGATTTGATATTTGACTTGTTCTTCAGTGCTTGTCCACTAGATCTGAGGTTTCATATACTTGTTTAACAGTGGCAGATTTGATGTGCTGATGCGAGTTGAATTTTTTTCTCTGTCAATACGTTAAACCCGTATCCTGGTAGTATTTTGCTGCCTGCTCTGACAGTATGCCACCTAGTTTGGGTTTCTAAAGCCAATGGAGACAGACAGGTCTAGGAAATGGCAGCAGCGGCGTAAGGAGAGGAAGGGAGAAGTGTAAGAGCTGAGAAGAGATTGGCAGTAGACGAAGTAGTAGTTTATTCTTAACACTTTTCCCCAAAAGCATAGAAACTCCAAAGGGGGGGGGGGGGGGATGGATGTAATAGTGAGACCTCTGTGCTCTGGAGAGGAGAGAATACAGTGCTGGGAAGCTGACTTGTTTCCTGAGCTGTGACTTTTGCACTTGGGTTAATGTCAGCAACAACAGAGATTGTTGCCTTTTTGGAACAGCAGTAACGGCGTGTCGTAGCGTGGTGGCCACCTTTGACTCCTGCAGGGCAAAGACATCCATGGGTCTGTGGTGGTAAGTAGTAATGCTGTGTGACAGGATTCAGATGTAAACACAGTTCAGTGCAACTGTCATAGCTTCCAGCTTTGGACTGATAGAAAATACTAAACATTAATAGCAGGAGCTGGGTGATTTTAATGAGCAGAGCAAAGCTTGCTTTTCTTTTTTTTTCCCCTCAGACTCCTGCTGCACAGCAGATAATTGGTTGGATTCAGCTAAGTGGGTTTTGCTGGGGCTGTTGCTGATGTCCTTAGGTTGACTTGTTCATTTTAACCTTCAGATGACTTTCCTTGACTCAGCAGAACTGGGTAGCTCGTGGAGTGTGAACTCAGCCTGCTGTCCGTCACCCTGGCAGGTCTCGGCTGGGGGCTGCTTTGGAACTGCTTTCTGAAATGGAGGGGAGGGAGGCATCTTCCCATTTACTGTCTTCAAATCCTAGGGAAGTCTGTTCTTTCAGACACCGGTGTTTGTGGGCTAATTCACCAGTCAGATGGAGAGCAGGTTTAAGCTGGAGTTTAATTACAATGTCACATAGCTCCTGGCAGCCCTGTCTGGGCTGAAGGAGAGGGAGGCTTTGCCACAGCTGTAATTGTGCCCTGCAGTGACGTGACAGCCTGAGCAAGCTTTGGTCGGTGCAAGCCATAGGCTCTTCTGATGTGCTTGGTTAACGTTGGCTACATCTTGTCAAACTTGTTTCATGGATAGACTTGCATTTTCTGTCCTAGAAAAAAATCAGAGGGGTTTTTTTTGTTTGTTTTTTTTTTTTAACCTGCAGGCTTAAGGGAGATAGCAAAACCCTTTTTCAGTAGCCACCAGACCAGTGAGTTCTGTCAGGCTTTAAAATGCAAAAGGAAAATTCTGTTATTTTGCCTAAATACTCATTGGCTCCACTGACCATTTAATTCCAGGGTTTTAAAATTTTTTTGAATGGCTAAAATTGAGTTGTATCAGTTAAGCAAGAGTCTAGTAGAGAACAGAATCCTTTCCTGCTGCACGGAGGAGGTTATAAACTAAAGCATGAAGAAATAAACAATGCACAAGGTGAAGATGGAGGTCTACGAACTCTCAGCAGTGCCTTCTAGCATTCAAATTTTGTGCATTGCCAGAAGACTAATCTTTCATTCCCATTCAGAGCAATGCTAAAAGCTGCCCCTAAGGGACTAAAGTAGTACTCTCTTCTCTAAGAGCATGCTTATCCTCTGCAAATAAGCTTGCTGATAGGACTAAACTACTTTTATTCCCCTCCTCATCTTCCGTGGATTTGCAGTGAAGGAGAGTGCTTAACTCACTGGTTTTGTTTCCTTCCAGAAATTAGCTGTGCACTCAGGCATGGATTATGCCATCATGACCGGTGGCGATGTTGCCCCCATGGGGCGAGAAGGAGTTACTGCCATGCATAAACTCTTCGACTGGGCAAACACCAGTAGGAGGGGGTAAGTAGAGGTTCCTCTGAATCCTAAACTTGTTTTTTTTGTTCAGAGAAGCTCACTGCAGCGATGTAGTTCAGACCCCTAGTCCTGCTTTGTTGTTGAATGCTGCTCTTGCACAGATGAGGTAACACTGACCAGAAATAACATCTCCTAAAGTTTTCCTAGAATGAGTGAATTCCTGCTGCTTAGTGATATTTCAAAGGCTGAAAGCTTTTGCTCTTCTGCTCCCTGAGACCCTTCTTGTTTACATCAGATTTTCCAGACCAGTCATATCTGCTGATCTCATGAGGCAGGTGGAGAGACACTGCCCACTGGCAGGCTGGGACACGTGTCCTTCAGAGTGATTGGTTCTCTGACAGTAGTTTGAAGTCTTAGCACAAATGGAGGTATAACCAGATGTTTACACTCTCTGGATACTATGTACCCTGCTGCAATTGATCAGATTTTAGACTCTGATAATGTTTGGATCAGCTTCTTGTTTACTTTTGAGTCTCAAGCAGAAGTAGCAAATTACGAGAAAGAAAAGAGGATAAGGGGGAGACATGCCAAAGGCATTGATGTTAGGTGTAAAGGTCACAAGCTGCTGTGCTTTTTTGGTCACCTTTGAAAGAAAACTTACCTGCGGAAAAGCATTCATGTTGAGGCTAAATCTTGACTCCCTGATTTTCTAAGAGTATGTAGTTAATTTGTTCATACTAGTGTAAATGGATTTTTGCAGTCCAGAGGTAGCTGAGAAGTTGCTTGTCCAGTCAAAATATTAAAATTCAATAGAAAACTTGCAGTGGGTGTCAGTTTAGGGGTTTTTTTTTTGTGCTGTTTTGATTGCAGGTTTTCTGTAAATGTGGCTAACCAGTGATTTATGTGTTCTCTGATTGCTTTAGCTGGACGTTATCTTGCAGTGTCTGTATTAATCCTTGCTGCATTCATCATCTAAATGTTTCTATTTCCCCTTAAAAAAAAAACCAAAAAACTTACAGAGTAAAAGTCCTGAGGATTTAAACTCTTTCAGCTTCTCCTACTCTGAGGAGCTATAGAAGGAAAGGTGTAAGAATTTAAGTGAAATCAGAAAAATAATTTGGAGGAGATATGAGGATACTCAACTGGATGAAGACTGATGGATGCTTTTGCTAAAGATTCTCTTTCACAGCATGGCCTGGGTCTTATTCTCTGTCCTGATAAAAACTTCTGTGCATTTGAACGTCCTACACTTCAGAGGCCATCTTGTGACAGTTGTGATCAAAAGTTACACGTGTCCAGCAACGTTCAAGCATTTAAGCAGATTTTATTCCAGATATCCAACAGTGTTAGCTGTTAGTATTGTCTTGCCTTTGTTAGCTGAACGCCGTTGTGATAGGAGACACTCCTCTGCAGAGACTGTAGCTGAGAACATTTTCAGAAAAACTGCAGTGGAGTAAAAGATGTTAATAGGCCCTGAAATCCCTTGAAAGCAAGCTGGTTTTGAAGCTAGGCAAGAAGGTAATACAAGCTGTGACAGCTTTATGAGCAGCTTGGCTCTGTTATTGATAAACATCTTCATGTGCTTTGTCTCTTGGGAAGAGCACTACCCTTGGGTTATAAGTGAATTTATTTTTGTGAATTATTCATTGACTTTATTAATTCACTTCTCCATAGGTAATAAAACCATTATATTATTGCTAGTGTGGTTTGGAAAGGAACAAGTCCATAAAATAACAAAGCAGGTTGCAGGGGAGGACTGGTTTCAGGTTTTCAGAAGGGTACAAGGAAGAAGAACGGCAGGAAGATGCCATTGGCACCCGTGGTTTCTTGTATGCTTGTGTACCTGTCTTGTACCCTTGCACACTTTACTCTGAATAGGAGGGAATGCTGAAATGAGCCCTTGAAAATCCTTTGGGAGTAAGGTCTAAATTTCGAAGATCTACCCCAACATGGCAGTAATGTACCAGCACTGCTAGCTACAAGCCCGTTGCCAAACCAAGCCCATGAAAACTCCCATCTATATTTAAAAATTTGGAGGAGGTTGAGGTTGTGGGCCCTAGAATTTCTTCTGTTCAGTCTGCTTCTGAACAGTAGGAAACAAAACGCAAGGCTTGGAGTCAGATTTATGGCCTAAGGCATCTTAGGCTAATGCCTCTTTCTTAACTGTTGGGATGGGCCAAGTGTATGGGATGGAAATGTTGCTGTAGCTTCGCTGAGAAATGTGTCCTTAAGTAGTGAATTGGCTCTTTGTAATCCCTCGGGCTTCCAGCTGGTTAGTTGTGGGTGCCTGGTAGTGGGAGAGGAGAACTCTTGAGCCATTTGAGCCTCACTTACCTGTCTCCTGTTACTGTGTAGTGCTTTCCTTTTGCAGCCTCTTGCTATTTGTGGATGAAGCGGACGCGTTTCTGCGGAAGAGGGCAACAGTAAGTACTTATCTGTTATCTGTGTATGCTGCAGAGTTAGTCAGCCAACAGCTGCCTTGTTTAACCTGATTAGCTAGCTTCAACAGGCAAAAGATTAAAACTGGCAGGTGCCTTACTCCTCACCTAATTAAGTGATGCGGAGACAAGGAATTAGTGTCTGGCAGCTGAATGGAATGAGCATCTGAAGACTGACTTGAGAATTCCTCTCTGCAAAAGATGGGTAACATCATCTTTTTGGAGGCTTTGCAGGTGACTGGGCAGTAGGAAAGAAAGAGGTGTATCTTGAAAACAAGAGAAGATTATTCATACTGCAGAGCTGGTACCCTGCAGGGTCTGGGTTTTGTCCCAACAGATATTTGTCTTGGGAGGTTTTCATAACAGCACTGCTCTTCCCTACATTAACAAAGCTACACTAGCAGCTTCTCCTGTACAAATGATTTGTGTTTTCAAAGTAAGTCACCATATTGCACAGTTAATCTGGACCTGCTGCTTGAACCCCAGCAGTCTATTTAAAAGAGCTATCCCTAGAAGATTACTTAGAATGTGTAAGTGAATTCTTTACAGTGGCTGATTTTCCTCGTAAGTATCTTATTGGAATTCCCAGTTAAAATAGTGTTCAGCAGGGAAAGGCACCTGGGCCAATAGTTAGAGCCTTGGGTTTGAAGTCAAGAGAATCACTGAATGTCTGTGGGTAAATTTTTAATCTCTCTGCTGGAAGCTTTAATTCCTAACCTTTTTCCTGGGTATATAAATTGATCCTTTTTTTCTAAGGTATTACAGTGCTTTGGATTCTACTGTAATGCAAATCCTGACGATACCAGTACTCACTTTGTCAATAATGCTGCTTAAAACTGTGACCTGTCTTGAGTCCCCAAGCAGTTGATCTTCCTTTGGATTTCATCTTTGCAGGAGAAAATCAGTGAAGATCTCAGAGCAACTTTAAATGCATTCCTGCACAGAACAGGGCAGCACAGCAACAAGTAAGTATCCAGTTTCAGCCCTTACAGCAGTTTGATAGTTCCATGAATTAAGGAAATTCTGGAAAGAGTCTGTGGTGTGCAAATGGAAGTTGGAAATGTATGTTCTGTGCTACTAAGGACTTGAGAATATCTGCATAGAATATCCCCTTGTCAGCTTATAGACTGAATGTACCTTGCTCTTCCTTTATCCCTTGGACCTGGAAATTAGAACTCAGAAGGGCTGTACACAGGGTAGAGATCGGTGCAAAAAAGAGGGTAGCAGATGTGCAAAAGGGATCTTGAACTGCCTGTCAGGGCAACACGCTTCCCCTGCATGTGGTACGTAGTGGTGAGCAGTTCCTTTTTGTGTGTTGTCCTTACTGTGTGTGGCTCCCAGCACTGCAGGGAAATTCTTTCCCAAACCGGGTGGTATTAGAACATCTTGATGGTCTTAATGAGAAGATTCTCTTTCTCGATCAGTACCTGCTGTTTAAACAAGGACAGTATTGGGCCCATGAATATCAATACCACAAAGGAGAATGCAGGGTGTGATACTGGCTCAATGTTTCCTCATCTCTCCAGAAATGCTTCAGCTCGTGCTTGTTTGAGCTGCTGTTCCTCTCCAGTGCTTTGGTGGCCTCTTTCCGTGCTGCTCACGTGTGTGTGTGTGCGCCAGGAGTGGGTTGAAACTTCCAGGCAAACGAGCTTAAATCTGACCCCGGTTCTTTTGAGCTGTTTGCTCAGTATGTCTGGGTGCAGCGTTGCACGTAAATGTAGGAATCCCAGAGCGGTTTCCTTCATGGCTGCTAATAGATTTGCTAAACACAGATGATTGCAGGGCTGACTTAACAGATGCGTGCATGTGTGTGAATTTTATTGCTGATCCATCCGTGCTCACTGTGTCACACTAATGCTAGCTTCCTTGCAGAGCACTGCTTAAACAAGAGCCATATCCTGGCTGTCATGAGAGAGATGGTCTTTCCTTGACCTTTTTCAAATAATCTTTGTCATTTATTTTTTTTCTCTGTGTGAACTTTATGTAGTTGTTAAGCTTCTCTTACAAAGAAAAGTTGTCTGATTGGGAAGGTGAGTTTCTCAGCGAACTGCTCCCTTAGTAAGGTTGTAGTGAAACACCTGTTATAGTAACCTCATGACACTGAAATAAATATTCTAGAAGGTCATTGTTTCAGGACAACAGCAGGGCATTTTCTGTCCTTGGGGTGTCTCTTGAGCTTGTTAAAATCAATGCAATTTTAACTGATAGCTGCTTGTATGTAGGTCCTCTGTACCCTTCTCTCTCACATTGCAGCCTTTCCAAACTGAGTGGATTGCTAGAAGGGAAGGTGTTGAGCCTGCAAGAACTCTGCAAGATCCTTGGTTTCTTCTCTGGGAGAATAGTGTGTCTCTTTTTTGAAATGATATGTAGAATTGCTTTGTAAATGCTGACTTGAGTGTAATTATTATTAAACAATGTACTTGCCTTTTGCAAGAAAAAATAGAATACATATATATTGGCAAAATATGCGTGTTCCACAGGACCAAGAGCAAATGGTGCTTAAGATAGAAACGCAATTTTCCAAGGTGAAAACTGTGGATATCCTGAGTTCCTGGGTTATCTGTAGAAATGTCTTTTGCCCTGTACCTGCAGAGGTGATAAAGATGTTTAGATGGAACTGCAGAACTTTTAAGAATAATAGCGTGTATGTTTTAGCTTCAGATAGTCCCCCTTTTCCTAGGAAATAGTCCTGTTCACACTTGTGGTGGCTAATCCCTGTAGATCCAGCAAAGTGTTCTTTTATTGCCCAGATTTATAATTGCACTGCGAGCCAGGGGCTGGTAAGGGGACAGTTTTTTTCTCCTGATGTTGAATTGCCTTAGCAGAGCTCTGGGCGTGCTTGTTTGGTGCTGGTGGGTGCTGTGCCTCTGTTCAAAACAATTGGGCTGTCATTTTGTCAGACGTTGAATTCAATAAACTGTGAGCCATTCGAGGAGACTGAACATGTCCTTGTGATTCATGCGCTGCTTTTTCCTTCTGAACAGCCTTATTGCTGCTTTGGGCAACGAGGAGTCCTCTATCCATGAATGGGAGTTCACTTGAATAAGTCTAATAGTGCATGTAAATCTAGCTGTTTTGGTGAGACCCTGAGGAGTACTGTTACTTTACCAGTGATTTGTCACCAGCGTAACTAAGTATTGTGAATTGCTGGCTTAAATTTCCCAAAGAACTTCCTGCATCTCCTTGCTGAATAGCTGACAGTGCCTGCATCTCTTGCTCTTTTTGCCACAGAAATGAGCAGGGCCTGAATGTCAGGTTGCATGTCAATCCTTTATCCAAGCTGCGTTTCTGTAGGGTCTTGGGGGAACTCCTTGTTGGTAGAAAAGGAAAGGTTTCATGCCTGTGTGGCTCTTGGGTTGGTGCAGTTATCGTCAGAAATGACAGCAGAGAACACAGCCCCCTGTAGACTAAGATTTAAACAGACTGCAAGAATGTCAATATTCCAATAGCTGTGGTTAAAAGCCCGTTTCCAATTGTAATGCACTGTTAAGCTGGTAACGTCAATTAAAGCATTAAAGTAGAATTGGCATGGGGAAGAAATATCACAGAGCAAAAGAAAGGGCTTCTGGCTTCAAAATGTGTGAGGAAAGAGCAGGACCTGGAAGCTGGCACTTCTGTACTGTGGAGCAAAGCTTGGTAAAACCAAACCACCGTTGTTTTGTGGTACCCATTGTGAATGTCTCTCTGCACGCATTGGACTCGGTAGCAGGAGTGTGATGTCAGACTTGCTTCGAGCACTAAGTCAGCTTTTACCAGCTGCCCACAGGCAGACCCGGCAGTGGTACGCTCCCCTCGGGCCAGGGTGGGTCCATTCTGCAGCTCCCTGAGCTGCCCGAGCCTTCAGGAACGCTCTTTGCTTTCAGTTTGGCTGCTGTTCATCCCTTCAGAGCTGGACTAAGACAGCCCCTCATGGTTCTAGGGTGCTGCACAGTGAGCTTGAAGTCAGTTCCCCAAACTGGGATTTAAACTGGAGATACGTATGTGCCAGAGAACAGCTCTCCGTGTTGTCCACCTTTGTTCCAAGGTTTCAGACTTAGAGGTCCCTGGGAGGCTGTACTCTGGCTAAATGTTTGTGATATCCCTATCTTGAGGGAGATTGGGGGTAAAGTAATAAATTAGGCTCCAGTGGCAAAGGCAGACTGGGACAGACTCGTATTGGAAGGCTGAGTACTGAATTAAACGCATTTTGGTTCCAAATAGCTTAAACTGCACTGAATTTTAGTATGTTGCTTGAGATGCTGTTACAAAGCTGTTTCAGACGTGTCAGGTGATGAAATGTCTTTGATACTGGCCATGACGGTTCCCAACGTTCAGACTGGTTCATGAATTTGTACTTCTGTGGGGTTTTCAGTCTTTCCTCTCTCACTTTGTGCTTCCAGGTTTATGCTTGTTTTAGCAAGCAACCAGCCTGAGCAATTTGATTGGGCTATCAATGACCGAATAGATGAAATGGTGAACTTTGATCTGCCCCAGCTAGAAGAACGGGAGCGGCTTGTGAGAATGTATTTTGATAGGCATGTCTTGAAACCAGCCACAGAGGGTAAACAGTGAGTATCCCTGCACAACTCTCCCATCCTATAGGATTCCCTTGCTTTGGTTGTTTTTTTGTAATCTGCTTTCCAGTGTATTCTGTGACACTATCTATAAACCCACTTTAAACAAGTAGCACAGAAGGACTGGAGAGATGCCTCTTGCTATCCTGTTATGGGATGAGATGCCATCCTAGAACTTCATGCCATGGTTTGTTGTGCCCTTAAAATTTAGGAGACCAGTAACTGCACTGGAGGCAATAATGCAAGTAGGAACACTGTTGGAACTCCTCATATCCAAGCCCTTGTCTTTGGCTTAGCAGAGACAAATTGGACCAAGCGACTCGTTTCCTTGTGTGCTGTGCAGTTCTTGCACTTTTTTGGTCTTAATCCAGGTACGCATGTTTGTGCCACAAAATCGGCCTTTCTGGGCCCAGGAGACCAACTTCTGTGCTCAGGCTGGATCTTTGTAGAAAGATTGATCTGATCTTTGATTTCATTGTAAGTGTTGCTCTTTACAAAGCCTACCTCTGACTCCCTCACCCTCCCGTCCTGTCCTGTGGCTACATGCAAACTAATCCTTGTTGTTCTGCTTTTTAGACGTTTGAAGCTGGCCCAGTTTGACTACGGAAAGAAGTGCTCAGAGATTGCCAGGTTGACAGAGGGCATGTCTGGCCGAGAGATCTCTCAGCTTGCTGTGGCATGGCAGGTAAGTAGGGCTTTTACCACTGGGCTGCTTAGTTTTCCCTTTCTGGAAGGTTTGAGTGTTTGATGTTGGAGTCTCAGATCTTGTCTCACCTTGGAAGTTTCATTATGTCCGTACAGTAGTACTAGAGTGCTGCTGTCTCTGGGGAGGGTGTCAGAATATCGGTGTAATTTTTCACCTCATAAATAGGCACAGTTTTTATAAACACTGATGGGAAATCCCTTACTGAATTTAAATAAAGCAAGTTAGGCATGGGTTTGGGCAAATCACACTGGCTGTCAGTCACGTTCCAGCTCAAGCAGCTCAGCAGAAGAGGTGCCTAATGCTGGTGCCCGTAGGTATGACAGCATTAGGACACTAAAACATCCTTCTACATCGTTCTAAACACATTTTTATTGCAACTTAAGTAATTGAAGGAACAAAACTAACTGGAAAATGGAGCTGAAAAGACTAGGTACTTCTACCTGTGTGGTACCTATGTAGAAATAAGAAATGCAGGCACTTTGAGTTCAATTGTTCACATGCTCAACAACCTTAAGCTATTCTTTTAATCTGGCTTTCACCTTGTTTTGTCACAGCTGCCAGTTTTACTGGGTTGTGTATTTTTATAAACTAACCTAGTAATACCAATTTAAGGAATATGTTTCAAACTATATGTCATGGAACATGCTAATGTCAACTTCCTTTCAGGTATCGTAAAAACAACGTTGTTTTTTTAAATTTAGTTCAGCAGTTCACAAACATTTTACACAGTTTGTGCATTTCATTCCTCCTGCTACTTGTTTTTCCATCTTTTAAGGTACAGAAAGTATTTATCCTTTCTAATCCATTTAACTGCAGTAGTCTGAGCTGAGGTCCAAAGCAGCCATTTGAGTGCTGCTAGTCCTTATTTTATTCCTTGTGTGTCAGAACACAGCTGGTTAATTTTTACCATGTGAGTTTTGTATTATTGAAACATGCTTTAAAATGGGTGCTCTCATCTGAAAATACATATAAATATTTTAAATTTGTTTCTAACTGCCTGAAAACATACCAGCCTAGTATTGTTACCAGTTCAGTCAAGAAGCTTAACAAGATGCTTGACAAGTGTTTGAGAGAAGTGGTGCGTATTGATGGGTGCTAGGTGGGCTGCCTGCTGTCCAATTAGTGTGTGTTCAGACACTGTTCTGGAGGACTGACAGGTGGAAGGAAAGACCAGAAGAATCTCGGGCCGTTCTGCCTTTCACAGAGCCTGCAGGTCACGGCTTCACTTTTTTTCCAAGTACAGCTGTGCTTTCGTGGGCTTCTGATTTTGACTTCCAGGATAAAGATGTAGGGTGTTTGTTTTAAACTGAATGACAGCGGTGCAGGAGAGAAAGCAGACTACTAATTGTTGTGGAATTTCTTTATTTCTCTTCATTTAGAAGAGAACCCCCTTACCCATGTATGTAAAAGGCTTTGCTGCCTGGCATCTCCTGTAATAAAATGTTGTGATAAATGATCCTTTGCTTTTTAATCAGCTTCACTTTTTATCACACTTTATCTCCTAGCTTGTCATTACTCCCCAGGAATAACCTCAGGTTTTATCCTTTATCCTTTAAGTGATGAAGGAAGGGAAAGGTGGGGGTGACCTGTTCCTTAGAGTTGTGGCCCTCATCACTTTTTTTAAAATGTACCTCATAGCACCAGATCTATTAACAAGGTTCTAGGTAAAATTGCAGGAGGAGGTTATGTTCCTCTCTGCTGTCATAAAACACTCAAAGGGCTTAAAAAAAAAAAATTCAGGAGAGGGTGGGCAGAAAGATACAAATTTTTTGGCGTAGAAGCTGCAAGAAGCTTCATGTGTGTCAGAACCAAAGCTGTTAGTGTTCTGGAACAAGGAACTTCATATCTTATCCCTCGTTGATGAAGAGAGGTGGTGTGATGTGTCAGGGGTCACTGTTAAAATGGCAGAGGCTTTTTGCAGCTAGTGGCTAGACATGAGGACTTCTTTCCTCAGGAGGTGTCTGGGTGGATCCCATCCACTAGCAGGTTTGTGAGGGCACCCAAAAAGGGGTAAAATTTCTGTATTGAACCCTGCACTGGGAGCTGCCTGCCAGAGCTGCTGATCCAAAGAGCTACCACAGGCTTCTCGTTCAGTCACCGGGGCAAGGAATTTGGAGCTGGAACTGACTGGAGCTTGAGTAGAGCTTTACAGAAGGCTGTATTTATACCAGCTCTGGCGCACTGACTTTTGACTGCGGCAAGACTTGTTAACACCTTGTAAACAAGTTAAACACCTTTGGTTTTGCCTGTGTAAAGTATTAAGGGTATGGCACTTCAGTGGCTGTGGTTAGAAGCCTCTCAGTGAGCAGGTGTGTTAGTACTCTTAACCAGGTTGATCTCTTCAACAGTATCAGTGTTTTGGGGCCTGGGTCAGCACTAACAGATCTCTTCCTACCTGTAACCTTGTTACAGGCAGCTCTGTAGCTGAATCAATGCTCTCTCCCATCAGGGAAGGATTACAGCTGCATTTTGACAAGCATTTCTGGCAGTGTTGGTCCTGCCTCATATTCCTGCTGTTCTGCTCCCCTTTCCGTTGTGCTGGTACACCTCTTTGTATGGCTGTGCTATGAACTGGGTCAGGGAGTTGATCAGAATTAAAAATAGCTTGGCAAGACGAGTTAACTGCGTAGCTACACTGCTGTCCTGGTGTATCTGAGCATTATGTCGAGTGAACAGCACAGGCAGGAAGAGCTTGAGATGATGTACAAGTTGAGAAGATGAAGGGCAGGAAGAAGCAAGAAAAGGGAAAACCAAGGTATTTCTCTTAACAGTTCTGTTTCTGATCTTAGTAACACCGTACAGAGCTGGTAAGTGGATGTTGTGAGCCTGGTGCTCTTGAGAAGTCCTCAAAGCAGACGTGAAACAACTTTGTCTCAAGACATTTACGCTTCCAGTTCTTTTCTACGTAGGCTCATCACAACAGCAATGTAATGTGCCAAAGGTCTCTGTTTAATAAATAACTTCAACTGACCCATTCTGGGGAAGATTCTAGCACAGAGCACTAGTGAAAACTGCTCATTGTGAATGCTGGAGCTTTTTGTTTTCAGCTGTTTTGCATAGTGCCCTGATGTGACTTGGAGCTAATCCTCGAAGTGTAGGCTTAATTTCAACATGCCTGTCACTTAATTCACCTCAGCTTTATGTGTATATATATATTTTCTTAATTAGTTTCTTCCTCCAACACTCATTTGCAGCGTTGCTGCCTGTATGCGTTATACCTCTGTAGACATGTCTTGGAACAAAACTTTAACCAGAGTTCAGGCAACAGATAAAAATGCAGAGGGAGCAGAGTGCCAGGCTTCATCGATGGTGAGGTGTTGCTCTGTTCCACAGGGTCTGTCCTGCTACCTCAAGCTGACTGAAGCCTTGTTGCTTGCAATTCTAATCCTAATGTCTATGTGATGAAACCTAACCAAATCACCCATGGAGCACAGGTAGTACTACAGAAGGCAGTGAGGAATCTGCACTGCTACTCCTGCTTCCATTCCTGAGTCTGCCGGAGTGCTGGAGAAAATGGACGGGGAGCACAGGAAGGTATTTATCGTGGACTTGATGGAGTTTTGAGGTGCTGGGATCCCCATCAGCTCTACTTAGCTTGCCTGGGGTCATCTCTCATGGCCAGACTGAACCTGAGAGATGGTTTGGGGAAGAGTGAAGTTCTGAAGCAGCAGGAGGAGAAACAATTGGATCCGTTGGCTCTTCCAGAGAGTAACCTAGAACGGCAGCTTGTGGCCACTCTGCTACCCCGTGGCCTCACAGTCATTTCCCGTGAAGATGTTTTTGGAGTGCTCTGCCAATATTGCTTTTAACAAAAACATCTCAGTTAAACAACAAGCCCGAGCAATAGCTGAATCTTTCACTATAAACTGGACTTGAAACTGGTTGACTGTCATTTACGTGAGGTTCTAGTTCACCATTGTTTCAATCTGGCTCAGTTTGTCCTGAATTTACCAAACAGAAAAAAATAAGATGCAGAAAAGCAGAGGGTGTAACCTCTAGCGCTGGAAAAAATATTGCTGTCTGGCACAGCTAATAGTCTGCATGCTAGAAATCCATTTTAATCTCTTCTACAGAAGACTGAGCATTCCCTTTTGTCCTTGTGCTTTTCCATTCCCCATATCTAATCCTTTATGACTATAGCATGGATTAGATGCATTTGTACACTTAAAAATTCCCTTCAGATCTGTTTATAGTAATGTGCAGACTTTCTAGTTCTGCACCCTGTACTTAAACCTATTGGTATGCTTTAGATAAAATGTCAAAATAGCAACCTTTCACTATTCCAAGCCATAATCCCTGGAAAATTGTTTGGCAACACTTCAAGAGAATTCCTAGGAGCTTTATGTCCCGGTGTTAAGGATAAAGGTGAGCTTCCTGTCATTTCCTTTGCTTTTGTGCCACTGATATAATTGCCTTTTTGCTCCCTGAACCTTGTTTATATTTTTTAAAAAATAAAAAATCATCTGCCTGACCAAGTTATGGGAAGAATTTAATGTTTCTATAGTGGTCTGAGCTGAAGGACATTGTAAGTAAGCAGGGAGGCACGGATCATGATGGCTGTGTTTTGGGGGTTTTTTAGGTAGGCTGGTTTTGTTATAAATGTAATTCAAAGGATACAGATTCGTTTGGCCGCATTAAAATAAGCCATGTTTCTTGGCTGAAATGAAACATTAGGTCATCTAGGCTGGACTTGACACCTGTGCTCCATCCTTCTACTTCTTCCCCAAATACTTTGTTTTCAGATTATATCATAATTGGATTTCAGTTATAACAAATGAATAGTGGCACTGGAGAAAATGGGTTAAAATTTGTCCATGCAGAAGGCAGAGGTATGAATACAAATGAAGCTCAGTACCATTTTTGTGTGTGTGCAAGCTACTCCCAGAAGGGACAGCTGCTTCTCCCATTTGCTTTCTTGACAGCTAGGGCCTGAGGCTTTCTATAAATAGAAAGTCATTGAGAAAATCAACAGAGCGTGAACTGCACAGCTTTGCAGGAGTTTCCACAGTTGAATTTATGGTCTATGCAGTGGCAGGGAGGAAGGGAAGACATCCTCTCTGTTCTGTGGAGGCACATACCGCACATCCCAGGAAAGCACTTATTCCATTTTAAAACACCAAATCCTCCTGGCTGGAGGGCTGCATTGACAAAAGGGTGCTGGCTCCTTTTTATTTTTTATTTTTGTTAATTGCAGGACATGACTGGGCACTTCAAGCTAAAAGCGGGGGGGAGTAGAGGGGTTATGGGGGTGAGTCAGGATATTTCAGCTGAACAGAATGTTTCCACTGTGCCCCTGTTAGGGTGGGGAGGGAAGACGGGTCATGTTGTGATAGATGTTGTATAAATATTTGTGGCAGCAGGTGGTTTCTGGAAGCGGTGCTCTTCTGGTGCTTGTGGGAGGTGACTGCCTGGCCGTGCTCGGGGTGCCTCCTGCTCTCGCTGAGAACAGAGGACAAGTGCCTTTATGCAAAGTGAATTTTCGATTTGCAGACCTTCTATCTCTCTGCACTCCTTGCCTGCAGCCAGTGTTTACTCCTAACCTGAAGGATGAGCATAAGCCAAACTTGTCACTTCTGCCTTAAGGAAGGATTACAAGGGTTTTACACAGGGAAGAATCTGTTTTGATGTTTCTTGCAGTAAAAACCAGCTCCTGCCAGCTCTGTGGTTACATGAGGCTTATGCAGTGAGACCTTTTGTGATCTCACCAGTTCCCCAAAAAGGGCTACCGAGTGAGGGCTGGGAGATAGGCTAGGGCAGGCTGAAAACCAACTTGGGTAACCTTTTGTTCATTTCTTGAAATAATATTCCTCCTGCAGTGAGGTAGCAGTAATCTGGTAGGCAGTAATCTACTGTGCTGGGGTTTGTCTTCTCTCCCGTCTACATCACTGGACAGTGTGTGTATAAAATGGTCACGCTATAATTTCTTTCTGTGGTGCTTTTGCAGTAAACTTCGTTGCTTGATATAATTGATGTTAAGGACTTCTGGAGCCTGTATGTAACGCCTTAGAAACACGCTTCAGCCTGTCATGAAAGCCAGACTTTATATTTCTAACTGGGATCTTGGGGAGCACCCTGAAGACAGAAGGGTTGGCATGTGTCAATCCATGACGTGATAGCTCTGTGGAAGGAGAGAGGCGTGGACAGAATTTGGGGCTATTTGGGGCAGGCAGCATGGATGTGAGAAGCTGGGAGAGGTCCCAGCCTGGTGTCAGGCTCCCAGTGCAGCTGTACCGGGAACCGCCGTGCCGGGTTGCTTGCGGGAGCGCTTGCAGAGGGAATAACCAGATTTAGAAATCTGTAGCTCGGAGTTGCTTTGTTACCTTGGAGATGGGTACAGCTAGCAGCCTAAGCAGCCTTCCCTTCCTCGGAGGGTCGGGCTGCTCGTGTTGGCATCTGCAGAATGTCCATCAGCAGAGCTCTAGCTGTCCTGCCTGTTGGGACAGAAGTGACAATCCCTGTGCTGCAGCCGAAATGGCACGCAGTCCTCTTCCCCCGTAGCTGCCACGGGAAATACTGTGGGCTGTTTGGCAAGGATGTCAAGAGTTTTCAGCCCTTTCTGCAAGGAACTGTGATCAAATTTGTACTGCCTGTTGAAGTAGCAACAGGATCAAGTGTTAATTTACCCAGCAGAATTGGAGACGGGAATTCAGGATATGAAGGAAAGGGGGAGGAAAGGGATGGTCCCATGGGCAGATGAGTATGGGGTGGGAGCTGACGCAGCACAGAAGTGATGCAGGGGACATTCCTAGCAGAACACAGGAGGAAATCAGGATTAGCGCACATAAAACATCCGTTTTAGAGGTGCCACATTGCCCATATTCACCGTAGCACTGATGTTAGTTCTCCTGTGTGTTTAAAACATTTTCTTTTGTCTTGGATGGAGTCATTCAATCACCATGTGCACCTATTACTCTTTATTGGCTTCACACATGCAGGGCTTTTAAAGCAGGAGAGGAAATTTAAACAAGCCAAGTGTGACTGCAGCCTAACCATACTGGCTATGCTCAGCATTAGGAACCTGTGGCCTTGGCTCTTCCGAATGCAGAGATCTTGCCTCCCAGGAAATCCCGAGGCAGGTAGGCAAAGTAGCTCAGAGACAAAGACTTTAGTGTAGCTGTGAATGTTTCTCTGTGCTTGGGCAGTTGATGTATTTCAGTCCTCAAGGAAAACCTTGCTGACAGTGATACTCCAGTTTGTTCTGCGTACCGCCGCTGGCTTAGAACGAGACTGGATGTTGCGTTAGGTAGTGCATGGAGAAGAAAACAGAAGAGAGGGCCCAGTAGTCTCAGATCTTCACTGATCCCAGGAATTATCATCACTAACTTCTGTCTCCTCTGCCTTTGCCTCTCCAGGCTGCAGCTTACGCCTCAGAGGATGGTGTTCTTACAGAGGCCATGATGGATGCCCGGGTGGCTGATGCTGTGCAGCAACACCAACAGAAGATGGAGTGGCTGCAGACGGAGGGTGCTGAAGCAAGCAAAGGGACTGGCAGAAACCCCCTCCTGCCTTTCCCCAAAGGAACAGCAGTGTGAGAAGTCTGCAGGCTTCAGACCAGCATGTGGGGAAGCGGGTGTAGCAGAAAGCTGGGAGGGTCTTTTGGGGTAAATGTTTGGTGGAATCCTGTGTTGAGAGAAATGTGTCCATTGGTGCAAGGGAGGGGGCACTGCCTCAGTCTGCCTTTGATTTCATGTTTTTAAAGTGCACCAGAAAACACGATGTTTTAAATAAGGCAGAAGCAACTGTATTAAAGGACCCCCTTGCTGAAATACTGTTGACTCTGTTAGTCTGTATGGCCTGTCCTGCTGGAGAGGCCCAAACTCCAAACCTTTTTCAGCCAATTGACACTGCTCTGGGGTGTCCCAGTGACATGGGCCTCTGGGAACCCAGGGCCTGTCCAAGCCTGCTGCTCCCAGATATTTAACTTTGTAGGGTTTATGCTCCCACAGAGGTACTTTTTTTTTTTTTTTTTTTTTTCACAGATCCTGTGCATGACATACCTCCTTGCTCACCTCTGGCACCACTCCTTGCTCTTATTGTCACCTTGTCACAGACTCAGGGTAGACTTTGTGTTAGAGGTGTATTTGGTGTGGTTCACAGCTGCACCTGCTTAACCTGAGGAGAAACTACAGCTGTGCAGTGGGTTGGCTGATAAGCCTTGGGACTTTCCCTGTGATGTAGCGACACCCACTAGTGCCCTGGCTGCTGCCTTTTGTCTTTTCTGTGCTTGGAGGCAGAGCCAGCCCACAGTGGTACCCTGCAAGGGACCAGAAGCTCTGGAGCTGAAGTGCTGAGTGCTCCGTGTGTGACAGCTTTTAGGCCCCTCCGGTGCAGCGCTGTAGAATAACTGCACCCACTCCCTGGATCGCACAAGGTGGTTTGAACTGGGAGCAACTGGCACTTCCTCAAGCAGAGCCTGGCGGGCAGTGCTCAGGGGCTGGGTAGCCCTTTGGACATGCTGCTTCCCAGCTTCCCACGTGTCTGATGTGACTCTGGTGCCCACGGTGCTTTGTTTGCTTTCTCCAGCCAGGTACTTGCTGCTACAGCCAGTCTGAGAGCAGCTCTAGGTATTTAGTTTGGGGTTTTTTTCCCCTCTCCAAGTAAATCTTTAAGGAGGTGAGTAGGCAAGGCTCAGTAAGTCTGTCTGGTGTACAGGTGTCCAGCGTGGTCTGAAGAGAGAGATGCATGGGGCCTCTTTGCCACTGGCTGCTGCCATCAACCTGCTCTTGCTCCGCAGGTTTTTTGCTGCATTTCTGGAACAATTGAGAAATATTTCATTGTCAAGTCATGAACACAAGCCTGTCTCAATCAGATGACATTTGTTCTGTCTGTGCGCATACAAGAGACAGGTTGGAAAAAAATCTCTTGATTTGTTTCTGAGCTTGAACTGGATTTGAACTCTGCGCTGTGCTCTGAGTCCCCTTCTGTAACTACACTATGCAAGCACATTTGCCTGACCTAAATCCGTGCCCTTGAGTACCTTGCTGAGACGTTCTCCTCCGACAGGAACTGACAGCACTCTCTGCTTTGCCCACTTCGCTGGTGGTTGTTGCTGAGCTGTGCGAGATGCACCCTGACAAGAGCTTGGGAGCAGGGGAGCGGGACAGGGCTGGGCACCAGGGCCCTCGGAACAGGCAGCCTTGTGGGACACCAGGAAAGAAACGCTTCTGGAGGCTGCAAGCTGTCTCAGGCTGCCGCCTTCTCAAAATAGTTCTCTGATGTTTTCCCCAGATGCCAAGGGAGAATGTGAAGATGCATTTTAGAAGCTGCTCTTTTGTCCTTTAGTCCACTGATTTACTAGAGGATTAGCTATTCTGGGGCTTTCCATTTCCTATTTAGATTTTGCTAGAATTAGAGTTCTGTTGAGCCCCAAGAGATGGAAAGGAGCTAAGCAGAGCCGCTCTGTTAAAAAAACCTTGCTAATGAGTTATGTGAGGGAACAGTCTGATGCTGTGTCATTAAAATCTCCAATTGTGACATACAGCTTTGATACTTTTCCCCTCTCTTCCATAACCATCTCCATGAAGCACAGAAGGAGCTGGGGGAAGGGGGAAGGTGCTCAGCCTTGTCCTTATGCTGTCTGACCGGGCTTTTGCTGATACCCGCAGCTGGGAAGAGGCTCCTTCTGTAAAGCTGCGTGAAAGGCACAGCAGTTGCTGTCTCAGCTGTTTTGTGCGATTCCTCCTTCAGATTGCATCAGGTCCTACATGGAGGGAGCACAGCGCTTGTAATGCAGCGATGATCCGTGCCTCTGTGCTGTGCAACAGTGATTAATTGCAGTTTGGGAGAACAATTAGCTAGCAGTAGCCTCTTGCTGGGGCAGGGAAGGCAGCAGGAAGCCGAGGCTGACCTGAGGGTTCTCAGGTTTGCCTGAGTACAGAAGTACTTCTCAGTTTTTAAGGGGTTTTAATGACCACTCTTAAGGATGGATGCCCCTGAGCTTTGCTGCATGGGCTATATGGACGGAACAGACTGTCTGGCTTGAAGACAGACACAGGGTGTTGGAGAACATGTGGGTGCCCTGGCATTTCTGGCGTGCACGGAGATGTTGCTCTCGTGTGACTCACAGCTTGGTGCTGCTTGCATCCTAAGGGGCAAAGTTCTTTCCTCTCTTGGGCAGCCTGGAGGATGGTGCGCTCTCTGCTAAATGAAATCTGTTTTCTTTAGTTTGTTTTCCTTTAAAAGGTCAGGGAGGGGTTAGTAGAGACATTTCTATACTTGATGCAGAAACAGCACTTTTTAATACACAGAACTTGTCGCGTGTGTCTCAACATCCCTTCACCCTTTAAAAGTCCTCGGTCAGTCAGCTGGTCAGAGTTTTGCACATCTGTGCTCTTCGTGCTTTATTAGCCAAGTGTTGCAGGCTCCTGTGCAACCCTGGTGCTAGTGGAGCACTTCAGGGCTCGCTTCTCTCTGTTCACAATCTCCCTCCACAGCCCTTACCGGGTCGGTTGTGGCAGCATCTGTGTGTGTGAAATTCAGTGAGTTCTCATCCTCCTTTCCAGAGAAGCTTGTGGCTCTGGGCAGAGCAGGCAGGTTCCCCCCTATCCCCTTCTGAGAGACCCCTATTAGCATGATGCCTGAAAGTCCACGATCACTTCAACCCGTGGCAGCAGCAGGGCTGAGTACACCCAGCCCGACTGTGGGTACATCACTTACGGAGCTCTTGCTGGATGGTGGATGTCTGACTTCCCACCGGTGAAGGAGAGAGGGAGGTGGCACCCAAGCTGGGAAAAACAGAGGAGGTGGAGCAGAAAAGCCCAAGGTGAGCCTGATTCAAGAGGGTTGAGGAGGCTCGGGGTGCCAAAGCTGCCAGGTCAAGTGGGTAAGAAGTGGCAGAGGTGGTGTGGGTTTGTTTTGCTTAGGTACAAGCTTCCAACCCAGTTGTTTTCATCTCTTCCCACTGCATTGAAAGAGTGATGTGAGCTTCCACTCGTACAAGCTGATGCCGTTTGTACTTCCCTGACAGGAGTGGGTTCCACCCAACTGATCCCTTTGTTTGAGCTCAGCACATTTGTGTTCTGGGCAGTAGCGTGGGGAGTGCCGGGAACGCGGGTAGCTGATGCGCCCTGCAGATCTGCACTTGGTCAGCACAACCTGGATCCGTAGCTGTTGGGTTGGAAAGTGCAGCTTTGCTGCTTTTTTTTTTTTTTTTTTTTTTCCCACAGGAAATAAAAGTTCTCCATCCATTCTCTCACACTTGCACACTACTCTTCCTTCCCATCACGTGCCAGGGGCTGTTGGATGCACGAAGCCAGCTCTCTTGATGTGTCCCAGGCATTATCCCTACCAGCTCTCTAAATCCTGCCTTGGAACAGAGATTACGTGTCCCTCTTGCTATGCACGTCGCTCCCAGCCGCCAGCTAGGTGATTGCATGCCCTCCTGCCTGCTGAATAGCTGTGCCCGTCGCCGCTGTCACTCATGTGGAATGCAACGGGAAAGGAGAAAAAAAAAAAAAAAGCTGTTGTTCAACTCCTGCCTCATCAAAGATTTAAATGCAGGGCCTCTGTCACCTCTGTCAGCCTCATCAGTAGGTTGGGTTTGCTGTCACGCTGTCAGCTCGCAGGATGAGTGATGTCCCTGTGGAGGTGGCACCCAGCTGGCTATTTGTTAACGCTCCATGTAGGGATATAGGATGGCAACCCCAGGCTGAGGTTATCTCCTCTCTGTGACACTGAGTGAGTTATGAGCTAATAGCACTTTATTAAAATAGTATTTTGTATTGGAGAGCAAATCTAAGAGCAGATGGATTAGCAAGCAATCCATCACTCCCCATCTCCTCCACTGCCAGCTAAAACGCCTTCTCTGTGCTTCAGCATTGCAGCTGGGAGACAGATTTATAACGTGGTCATCTGTCAATTCTCAGTTGCCATCCATTAAATTATTTACCTTTGAACGTGTCACACCGGGAGGAAAGTTCCATTGTGCAAGCACAAGGGTGTGAGTGCCACGTGCTTTCTCACCAGTGTGTGCCCTGTGCTGTAGGGCTTTGGGGGCCAGGAGCCTCCCCAGGGATTATTTCTCTGCCAACCTCTGTTTGCATTTTGGAGAAGAAACACTCAGATTCTCTTACAGTCCATTGTCTGTGGCTGCTTCCATTTTATCTCAACATTATTATTTTCCCTTTATGTTTGTTTGTTTGGGTTTTATTTTAAAAAAAAAAAAAAAAAAAAAAGTGGCAAACCTCATTAATTTGTCCAGCCTTGTAATGCGAGTCGCTGGCCTGCCCTGGGCAGCCTTGCTGCTGCGGGAGGTTCTTTGCTTGTGGAAGGCAGCCCATCCTCTGCAGCCAGCGACTGAGTGCTGTTGGCACACGGATGTAAGTAATGGGGATCTGTTGGAGGGATCCTGACAAAAACATGCCAGAGTTTGCAACTTCTGGCTTGTCTCTATGTTCACCTGGTGTGAAACCTGCTGGGTCTGCGCTTTGTCTGCCGGGGGGGGGGGTTCTCCTCCCTTGGGCCTTAGTCATGCACAGCCCTTCGGTGCCAGGGCAGCTCCAAGGCCTCGACACACACAAAAGAAGCCAAAGCAAACACGGGAGTTTGTACGTAGCAAACCCAACTGCAGGTGGAGAGCTGGAAGCCAACGTGGCTGCAACAAGAGCAGGGGTTACTGGTGACCCCTGCACAAGCAAAGGGGTGTTGCAGCAGCAGACAGACACGTGTGGGCTGTACGGCGGCTGTGGGTTGGCTTCTGGCAGGCGATGGAGAGGCAGCACGACCCTGTCACTGCATCACTTGGGGAGCAAGGATCCAGTTTGAGGGCTAACTGTAGGTCAGCTGTCCCACAGCAATTTCTCCAGTCAAAAATGACAATAGAAAATCTTTTCTCCAATGGTTACCTCTCCACCCTGCTTCTCTTGCAACCTCCAGGCCGTTCATGGTGTGCATCCCTGAGTCGGTGCTTTCACAGACTCCTGGTGCTCTGCTGGACCTTGGGACTGAGCCAGCGTCTCTCCCACAGACCTCAACTGCTCGGGCTTCGGGATAAGGCAGCGTTTGCCCATCTGAGCTCCAGTGGAAGAGGAACCAAAGGACTTCAAACAACGGGATACTCCGTAAGTGCCACCAGGCTGCTTTACTCCTCATTTCCTCCTGCCAAGCACTGCCAGCAGAGATTGGGTGCCTGGTGAAGGACAGGTGTGGGTTAGATCTTGCTTTGAATGGCCTGGGACATCCTTGCTGGCTGGCTTTCCTTTTCCCTGATTCCTTGAGGTAGCACAGCCTTACCAAATCTCAGTGATAGCTTCTGATATACGGCATCTCCTGGAATGAAGCTCTGGCAGCATTGCCAGGCTACATGACGTTATTTTTATAAGATGTGCAAAGGGCAGCAGCGCATGGGTAGCTCAGAGAAGTCCCCAGGCAGTCCTCCAGCTCTTGCCCTATCTCTAATTATTCTCACCGCACCAGAACTCAGACACCTGTCTCTGTTGCTGGCCATTTTTTACCCCCAGACATCATTTGAGATGCCGGTGCCTGCAACTGTCAGTCAGTTCCATGACAACAGCTCCCTGCTTTTTGCTGCCTGGGTGTTTTTTTCCCCTCTTTCTCCTGCTGCTGTGGGTTTTATTCTTGTTGTGGGGGTTTCTTTGCTTGGGTGTTGGGTTGGGTTGTTTTTTTTTTTTTTCTTGCTGCTCTGCTGTCACGTAACGTCTCCACCAAGCCTGACTAAGATGTGCCCAGATTTGCCCAGACTTGTAGAACAACTCGTGCATCAGCATCTTTGCGCATAAGGACTGAAGTCCCACTCAGTGTCAGACTTGCTCTGTTTGTGTATGTGTGGTCCTGTTCCAGGAGAGAAAAGAGCAGAATGAAGACCGTTATAAAGGACTGGTTCACGGTGGCAGCGTTCAGTACTGCTAGAATGGGAAATGAGGACAGTTCTTGGCCATGCCAGTCCCAGGTTTCCTATGCCCTGCCTTTTGTGCCTTGCCCTTGCCAGCAATAGGCGGGAGAGGCCCACGCTCCTCTCTGGAGGTTGCTTGCACTCAGAATTTGGTTTTAACAGGAAAAATATTTATCTTCTTTTTAAATCAGTTTTGGACCTTAGAGCTTCCCTGTGTTCCCAGGGAGTTGGGAGACAAGCAGGCTAAAATCTGGGACAGTGTCCTATGATGTCACATAACCTGGGGGGAACGCACAGCCCTCCTTCAGAGAGCGAGGCTGGGTGCAGCTTTCCCCCCCCATTCAGGCCACGCTTGTACCTCCTCCTCTCTTAACCCCTTGCCCCTACGCTGGTGCCCTGTGGTGCCCCTAGCAGGCCCCCAGCCTCTGACCCCAGGAGTATCATTCGCTTCAAAGGGTTGGAAAAAACCACTCAGATGCAAAACATGCAAAAAACTATTTTACTGACAAACAGCAAAGGACGGGCTTAGTTTTTTCGGGAGCTGAACTGGTTATCTATTATACAAACATCTTATTGAAAGGGAAGGAATGGCTGAAATACACTCACTCGTTGACCCAAATAAAATCACAGTGTGCTTTTTCTATTGCCTCCCCCCACCGCCAAGCTCTCTGCGGCCTTCAGCTGCTCCCCTTAGCTTGAGCACAAGCGTTGTCACCGCTCCCAGCACGGCCGCGGGAGAACACAAACTGTCGGTGACATTTGCCTGTGCAAGTGTATTTAATAAAAAAATTAGCCATTATTGCTTTTCAACCACAGTAGAGATTATTCTACGATTAGACCCAGAGCAGAGTATAATCTCTCTCTCTCTGTTAGTATCAATGTGTGCTGTACCTCTTCCTGTCTGATGCATGCAAAATTGGTTTGAGTGCAGGGAAAAAAAAAAAAAAAAAAAAAAAGGATTAACAATCAGAGAAAACAGCACTCCCAAGTTTTGTTCTTGTGTTCTCACTGCAGAGCACTACTGGAAAAAAAAAATAATCTTCCTAAACGGTGTGCTCTGGCCTGCAAGGGTTTCCAGTGCCTTAGTGCTTGGTGCCTCGCAGGACTGAGCCATCCTCCTGGTGTCACCCCTCCATGAAATCCCGGGGCTCGGCTTGAAGAGGGGACTAAAACTAGCAACCCCGCTGGAAAAGAAACGCGTGCAGATGACTGGGAGGTGCTAAAGAAGAGGAATAGGGCTTCATGCAGCGACCACGTGATGACACGCACCGCGATAAACACACAGACACGCACTGACACACACACACGACTGGAAGGGTGTCCCGAGAGCCTCGCCAGGACGCAGCGAACTGGCAGCCCAGACTCACTGTAGAGCTCCTCCTTACTCCTGCTCATGTTTTCCAACTCCTCTGCTTCCTTCTCTCGTGCCCCAACAGCCCACCTGCATGGAGGCTGCAGGCTTGGTGTTTGTGTTTTATTTTTTACTTCAGTAAGTTCACTCGTTTCTTCATGCTCTTTTGGGCACCGCGGTGAGCCAGGCTGGCCTAAGAGGACAAGCCCACCTTCGCTCCATCCTAAGGCAGAAGCAGCCGGCCGTGTCCCCGCCTAACCCCTAACAGCCTATCTGTCCCCTGCTCGACATCCCGTTGCCTGTCACTTACACATCTAGTCCGCTGGGGTAGCCAGGTGGCAAAGCATTTGATCCAAACCTCTTTCTATCGGTACTTACGCTCTAGTAAGGGAAGTGCTTCCGTTCTTTCACATCTAGAGGTGCTCTGGAAGCTTCTTTGGCTATTTCTCCCTTCAAAGCCCCCCGAATGTGGACGAGGCCTCCGTCACCTCCCTGTTCCCCCCGCCACACTCAGCGTTACACTGCCGCTGTGAAACAGCTCAAAGTGACGTCTGAGACTGAAGTTCCCTGTGGTGTTTACCACCTGCACGTCTCCAGCCTTCACGCACGGGCATGTGAAGGGGAAACGTTGCCCTCCCTTTTCCAGGGGACTCTGTGCACATGAAAAGTTCCCCTTCACAATGTGGCTTCTCCCAGGCTAGGGAATGACCTTGGAGCAGGACTCCCTCACTGGCTCCCCCAGGGCTTTCTCCAGCCTGGGCTCACCTACACCTTACCCAAGGTAAGCAAAGGCTATTGATGTTTGTGTTTGCACTGGCTGCTGCAGTCTTGGAGCATCAGCTCTTGGTCTTTTCCAAAGCCAGGGGGCTTCAGCTTACTTAACACCAGTTGCATGACTTTTTTTTTTTTTTTTTTTTTTTTCCCCCCACGGCATATTTGAGATTGGAAAGGGCTGCTGGAGTTCATCTGGTCCCTTTGCTCAAGCATGGCCACCCAGAGCAGGCTGCCCAAGACCGTGTCCAGCTGGCTTTTGACTGTCTCTAAAGATGGCAATTCCACACCTCCTCTGGCAACCTGTCCAAGTGCTTGGTCTCTCTCACAGTAAAAAAAAAAAAAGTGTTTCCTGATGTTCAAGCAGAACCTCCTGTGTTTCAGTTTGTGCCCATTGCCTCTGGTCCTGTCACTGGACATCACTGAAAAGAGCCCGGCTCCATCTTCTTTGCACCCTTCCTGCAGGTATTTATATACATTAATTCCCCTGAGCTTTCCCTTCTCTAGGCTGAATAGGCCCAGATTTCTTGGCCTTTCCTTCCTTAATCATCTTAGTGGCTCTTTTTAGTGTTTTTTTTTTTTTTTTTTTTATCAGGGATTCTCTTCTCCCAGCTGAGTGCAGCTGGAAAATGAGGTAGAGTAGCAGTGAGAGTAACTAAACCCAGCCCATCCTGCTGTGAGCGCCTGGGACCTGCCTGCTGGGCTCCCTTCTGGGCTTTTACTGCTTGTTGGGCGGCGCTGCCAGATACTTCAGTCAGGATGGGCCAGTTGATGTGCCCCTGGCTGGCCCAAGGGCTAGCTGAGTGGTAGGAGGGCAGGATGGATGGATGGAGTGCATCCCAGGAAACACCTTCCCAAACTGTTCCTCGAAGGGGAAGGGTCCTCCTCGTTGTGTCAGAGCAGCAGGCCGAGGAAGGCATGTGCAGTACCTGCGTCTGCTCTGGGCTACTCCTGAAATCCTGAAATCTGGGCTCTTCCTTTCCTCTCAATGCTGAGGCCATGTGCAGCTCTGCCAGCCCCTCCCTGGCACAGCACCACTTCCACCTACGGTGAATTTGGCCTCCTCTCGCTTCTTCCTTCCCTGTGCCCATCCTGCTGCGAGCCACTGAATGTGGTGGAACAACAGATGCCAGCTAGGAAGCAAAGTGGAGGAGACAACCAGTTTGACAGGGCTGCTCTTTAATGTGTGGCTCCCTTGAGAAGCAGGAAGGTGGTAAGAACAGAAAGAAGGTTGGCAGAGAATGCGTTCAGCTTTACGCTGCCTTCAGGGATCTCGCTGAGTGGCGCGGGGTTTATTCAGCAGCGTTGGTGAGTGGCTGCTTGAATTTAAGGAGCTATTGGTTGTTACAAAGGATTTCCCAAGCCTCTGCTTTTCTCCAGCTGTCTTTCCACACCTCTCCTTTGCAGCAGATCCCGGGCACCAGCACCCAGCCAAGCCTGAGCCCCTCACACCAAAAATGGGGGCGAACGTTTGCAGTGCCAACCCCAGCTTTGAAGAATTGGCACCTAAGAGTTTTAAGCTCTGTGTCTGCTCTAAAAATAGCCCCTCCTGAGGCAGCACAAAATTCCCCCCACTATCTTAATCCTGCAGAAGCCTCCCTCAAAGCATCTGGTGGATGAGCGTTAAGACACGGTGCACACTTCCCACTCCTTTGTCCCTACAGCGCTGCCACTGCAGACACAGCTGCCAGCTGCAAGCTTTGCCACCCCGTGTTTTCTCTTCCACAGGTTCTGAGCGGTATCTTGCCTAGCCCTGACCTTGTTGTGTCAACTCCCTGATGCCAAAGTCGCTTTCTCCCAACTGAACCCTTTTTTTTTGTTTGGGGTTGTTGCTGGGTTTGGGTTGTGTTGTTTCAATCTGTGGGTTTTTTTGGTTGTGGGTTTTTGTTTTTTTTTGAGGGGGGGGGTTGTGGAGACTGGATCAGAGGCAAGAGAACAACAAACAAGTCAACACTAGTACATCTCAGACAATTAAACAAGGAGAAAACACCCCCACAACCAGACAAAAGCAGAACGAACACATGCACGGGAGAAGACGACAGCGCAACGGCGGACTTTGCAGACTTTACAGACAACTGAGCTGCGAGCAACAGTAGCAACCTCACTTGGACAGAGGAACGAGAGACCACGAAGTCAGACACTGTTGGTAAGGCTCCTGCCTGGAGCAGAGCCCGCTGAGGCGACAGGACAGGGACGAAAGTGCTGATGTCAGGCAGAGCGCGCAGGTGCTGCGTGGGGCGATAGGCTGGTACTGGGGTTCTGCAATACTCAACACACAGCTGCCTCTTCTACCTGCTGCTTCTCGGGGTACTGGGGGGCTCGTAAGTGTGTTCCCCAGAGAGGAGACGTGGCAGACACTTGGCTGTTGGGAACAACAGTCGGTATTCGCACACCCCCGTGGGTTAAACGGCACGCGGGACCTGGGCTGCTGCTGCGCAGGGGGGTCTCCCCACTGCAGGTTCCTTGGTGTGTGAGGCTCAGCAACAGGCACGTTCTGAGCTCTGTTACGTAGGGTCAAATCTACAGGAGCTTCTTAGGCTCGGAGGAAAAAAGGCATCTCACACCAGCAGGCTGACCTCGCATCTCTCTCTGAAATCGCCCCTGCACAGAAGGTGCACCAGATCTCACGGGTCAGCAATAGGACCTGGAATTACCCCATGGGAAGGAACTTTGTCCCTTGTTTGTTAAGGATGAGCATCAAAGGCCTAGGATTAATCCCACTGGTTTAGTGTGTGCTGGGACAAACCTTGCTCTATGAGGGTATTTCTGGTTTCCTTGGTTTTAAGACCAGTGAATTTTTCCCAGGAAATTTAATTGCACTGAGAGTATTGTTTTATTTTTTAGCTAAGTGTAAACAGGAGATAGGCTCACAAGGTAATAGCTGCAAACACAGCAGATTAAAAAAAAAAAAAAAAAAGTCTGTTCTTAATGGGTCTATGAACCATGTAGGACTTTTTTTTTTTTTTTTTTTTTTTTTTTTCTTCTTCCAGAGGCTCATATTCTTCTGAAATTCTGGTGGGGATCAGACTTAATCAGTGTGAGCCATCACTCCACTCTTTCCAGGTCTAAGTTTCATATTTAATGATATTTCAACTAAGGTCAGTTGCTCAGGCAGGGCAGAACCAGACTTTTAAGTCAGTCTGAGTTTAGTCACTGCCTTAAGTCGCTCTTGCGAGAGGCTCCAAGTGGAAAGATTATTTAAAGTGCTTTTTTTCCCCCCATAACTAGTTCCAGCGACTCAGTATTTGTCCCTATCATGATGGAATTTTCTCCCCTACAAAATGTTGTCCCATCTGAAGACACGTCCGTGACGTGTCCCTGTTTCACAGTACCTATTCTTGGCTGTCAGTTAAGCATGTGCCGTCCCCCAAGGGCAACCAGAACAGCTGTTTGGCCAGCTCTCAGCTGGCCCAGGCTGAGGAACACTCCACTGAAGTGAGCATCTTACACCGCTCGAGGATGAGTCCGCATGGTCAAACGCACAAAGCTCATACAGTGAGGGAGCGTGCGAAGCCGCGTGCCTTGGAAAGGAGCTGCTTAAGGAAAAGTCCTTCTTTAGTTACTAACAGGTGGCTGAAGACATTCCAACCAGAGGAAGTCCGGAATGACAGACAGTCAAGCAGACAGAAGGATAGACCAGGCAATTATTTAGGCCCAGACAGAAACTGGGGCTCCAAGACAAGAGGCACTAGGGAATAGCAAAGGTAGGAATGGCAGGGAAACGGGGGGGTGTGGCTCTTGGGCTTGTGAATAACTGAACTGATCCTGGGCATGGGAAACAATAGGGGGGATAAAAGGAAAAAAAAAAAAAAAAGACACAAAAGCTGAACCAGGGAGGAAAAGAGCAGGGAGTCATGGTGTCCTTTTCCCTTCACAGACATTGCAATCAAACAAGAGGAGGCCACTGGCAGCGTCAAGGAATCCATAGAAGAAAACAGCAGTTTCTGATAATATTCATTGTCCCTTTGTTCTGGATGGTTTTTTTCCCATTTAAGCACAAGCCCACTCAATACAAAATGATGAATGAAGGAGAAATGATTAGGATACAGGGCTACCACCTTAAATTCTTGGGGCTAGCTCGTGTCTCCCTGCCTTATTCCTCTCAACAAAAATCGCTCTCTCCCCGCTGCAGCTGGCAGGGCTGCTGCTGACCACAGCCCAGCACGTGCAAAAGCAGAGCGCTCTGGGCCCATTTGCTTCACTCCCGCAGCCAAAAAAAAAAATGACTTCTACTGGAATTGGATACCACTGTGCTGCCTGGGTGCACACGGGCTTTATCAAGCCCTTCGGGCAGCTCTGGAAGTGAAGGAGGGCTCTGCCTCTGGAGGTTGGTTGCAGACACCTGAGAGCTGTCTCGAAACCCACAGCTGAGCTGTGACCAGGGGAAGCGAAGGGAAAAAAAAAACCACGTTAGAGCATCCTCGTACCTTGGTTCAACCCATCATTAGGACGTTTGACTCTGTCGATGAGTTTGGCTTCAGGCCCACATCTCTCTGTGTTCCTCAAGCCAAGCCCAGGCTGCTGCTGAGGTGCTCAGCTCAGAGCAGTAACACAAGGAGCGAGGTGGCTGTGCACGTGCAGGAGGAGCGGGACTGTTACCAGGAGCCTCTCGCTGCCTCGTCGGTGTTTCTAGGGGGTATTAATCAGGGGGTCGGGCTCACCCTCTGAGAAGAAGGGGAGAGCAGCTCCTTTCCTGCCAGGCGAGGGTGGGGTTGATGCAGCAGGGGGGTATGATCAGGGTACAAGTCAGATCTAACACCGGTCAACTCGATACACTTCTCCTCTCCTATCAGGAGCAACTCCCCGGCATTAGTGAAGAGTAACAGCACTGGCTTCAGCAAGGTCCCACCAGTATAAAAGTGGCGAACACCAGCCAGCACCAGCCCTGTTACTGGGACTGATCCCTTCTTGTGCTGTTCCCCTGGTACTGAGATTTCTTGGCTTGCTTAAGGCAGGTTTCAGTGTATAGCAATGCAAACAACAAATCAGTTATCTACTCCCAGGTCTTCCTTCCCCCACAGCAACTCCCAAAGACATGAACCAAAGCAAAAGGGACACTGTGCCTCCAAAACCAGCTGGCAGCAGTCCCCATCCAAACCTGTGACCAGCCAAGCCATTCTAGCAACGGAAGGAACAGAGCAGAGCAAGACCAAGCCAACGGACCAAAGAAACGGGGGACTTGAGCTCTTGGATGAACAACTCTGCAACTTCTTCATGTTGTCCCACCTCCATACCCTTGGCCAACATTCCCCGTAGGGCAGCTGGATGTGCAGGACAGCCGTGAATGCCAGGAAAAGGGGGGGGTTGAAAGTATAATGCAAATCTCTTTTTTCTCGTTTTTGTTTGTCTGCTTTTTTACATATATACACAAGTCTGACAATAAAATGTGGAACACAGTGCAAAGTCTTGGCTGCGTAGCATCCAGGACTGGCTTAGTTGTGCATCGTGGTGTGCCACAGGGACACACAGGATGGGTAAGTAAAATTGTGTCCTCGGCTGGCTTCCACAGAGGAGCAAACTAGTAGCTGTTCCCCTGGAAGAAGAGCAAAGTCCTTTTTAAAACCTCACTGCAGTCTCTTGGAGGGGAAGACATTCCTCAGAGGTGCCGTGGGCTAGGGTGCCCGTTATGGTACAGCTTCTGTTTGATGTGCACCATGTTCCCAGTCGCCTCCTCGTACTGCCTGTGGTGACGTTTTCTGAACTCCTTTAAGTTACAAAATTTTGGAATCCATGACCAGGAATTGTCTGGAAGGCAGAAAGGAGAAGGAAGATATTACAGGAAGGGTGAGACCCACGTTCTCCTGCCTTGCCTAGCCCTGTTCCCACCCTGCCCCACAGAATTGGGGTGCTAGGTACAGCCCTGGCAAGGCCACCCTTGCTCCCCAGCTCCTTCATGCCCCCCAGTGCTGCCCCCTCCTCCCCCAGACCCACAGCAGCCCCCCACCCCTCCGGCAGCCCTGAGGAATGGCTTGTGGGCAGCGAGGCACAGACCCGCCACGCGGACAGGGGGGGAGTTAGGAGAGGCAAACTCCAGCTTTCTGCTCTGGGTAGGAACCAGCTCCTCGGGATGAACCCTATCCTCCAGCCCGCCCTGTGCCTCTGTCACACTCCAAATGTCGGGCCAGCGCTATGGGCGAGACCCAGCAAAGGCAGGAACCTCACACAGATCTCTGCTCATCTCCACAGCTGGCCAGGACCTGCGATGGGGACCAAGCAGCACACAGGGCTGCGGCCAGCCCCGTTCCATCCCGGCTCTTTTATCCTCTCTTCTGAAACATGGGCCAGTTTCACACAACATCAGCACAAGCCCCTCTTTCCCCTCTCTGCCCCGCAGCACCATTTTTTTTTAACCGGTGTTTCAGCTCTCAGCCCATGAACCTGTCCCTGTAGCAGTGGTTTGGCTGCCATGCAGTTTCAGGAGAACTTTGGGTCATTCCACCCAGAAATACACCCAGCCCAACCCCGCAAAGGAGAATTTGGAAGTCCCAAAGAACAATACCTTGTATAAACCGAACTATTGCAACTAGCATGAGGTGGTACGTGACTCCTCTGACCAGCACTGCAGCTACTCTGAAGCACAATCTGATGTCTTGAGTTTCTGTAGAATATTTTCTATTTTAAGAAATCTCTTCCATGAGGAAGGAGCTATAGGTTATTCTAATAGGCCAAAATTTAAGCTGATCAGGCCACAGTGTGACACTGAGTCATTGCTAAGTGGTGCTCGTGTTATTTCAGGGAGGGCTCTACATTCCATACCAGTCCAGTATTCTGTATTACCCCTACCCCTAGCTCTCACAGGCACAGGCACCATTTCTTTCTTCAGCAGGAAATTTTAGCTTAGCTACTCATTCAACAAAGAAATAGGTCTCCTTTCCGCTCATTGCCTTTGAAATGACTGGATTTGCATAGATTTGAATGAATTGGAAATACCTAAAAGTTCAACATCCGATGGTTTTTGCTCCAAATCCCCCAGTGATTTTTCAGCCTGTCTTCAGCGAAACCAGTTCGATGCATGTAAAAAAAAAAAAACCTTTCCTGGGAAGATCACGTCCTGTGGCACAGTAGATGCTGGAAACCTCACCTCTAGATCAGACAAGGAGGGCTGGCAGGGTGTCTTCTACCACACGTTTGATTGTGAGGACACAGGGTGGTTGTTAACAGAGCAGTGCGAGCACACAGCTGTGGAACACCCAACCTGGCTCCCGTGTCGCCGGTGCAACGCCACGAAGACAGCACTAAGAGACAATGTCTCGGGGCAGAGGCGGTGTCAGCCGTCTGCATCCTGACAGGGGCACTGCCAGGGCCTCCTAAGGGCAGAAAAACCCGGGTGCAAAGTCATTCTGCGTTCATTTTCAGAAAAGATGTATCTGCGCAGTGTGTTGCACCACGGGCCAAGCCCTTCCTAAAGCCTTAGAATACGTATAAACAGGGAGAAGAGAAACAACAGAGAAAAGATTGTTCAGCTTAAATACTAAATTAATTTCTAGCGCTAACCTAAATTACTACAAATACATTCCCAAGAAGGCAGGTTCGACGGCAGTACCACGTTATGGAGCTCACGGCTCCATAACGAAAGGCAACAGCTCAACATTGCCGTACTCCCTGCAGCATCTGCCCCAAGGACGGCTCCTGCCAGCCCTGCCGACCCCCCGAGCGTGGAGGAGATCACGGCCACCGCTGCTCTGATCAAAGCCGGGTCTCACGGCCTCCAGCCTGGCTTGCTACCCTCGAGCTCCCTGGAAACTCTTGACAGTCAGTCAGCCTTCTGCTTGGGAAACGACAGCGCACAGCCTCAGGAGACTCCTGAGTCAGGAACTGCTCAAGCAGGCTGCTGGGGATTTGGGAAGACTAATGAGAAATTAATATCGTTTTGATCTGAGTTTTTAGAAAGAGACAGTCCACTTCCCTAATTAGAATTTCTTACAGGTTTACAGATAAATCTTTATCTTGCTCGCTCTCCTTTCCCTCCAAGCTGTAATTTAACAGACTCCATCAGCAAGAGTTAGAGAGACTGAGACGTGTAGGTACAGTGATATGGAATTTCAGGTCATTCGCTATTTTAATAGTTTTCCTGTCTTTATTCCCCTCCAACACTTAAATTCCATGGAATAATCCACGCTGAGAGAGCAAAGAGGGGCAAGAGAGGCTCTCTGAAGGAGATCTGTTAGTCCGGGATGCTAAGCTAACTGGTCCAAAGACTCACTCGTACGGCTAACACTTTTCCCTGTGGGGCTACTGGAAAAGACTTGACACATCTGGAACAGCAACGAGGATGGGGAAAACTTCAGCCGACGCATCCCTGACACAACACAGAGGTGTCTGTCATTGTCATCACACTGACACAAGTTTACACAAACAACGAGAGGCTGCACTCCATCAGCATGTGCCTGGCTGCAAATTATATGCACAGAAAAATCCAGATTTCAGGGAAGTTTTGTCTGGCCTGAAAATAGTCTGCCCACATGTGCAGACATACAACCACCATCTGCCAGCCTGCCTACGGGTAAACATGTTGCTTTCCATCAAACACCCCTTTGCACCAACACATACTTTACACTTTCCAAAGCAGAGCCCTCCAGCCCAGGCTCCTCGGCTGGCTCCTTCCACACAAACATTCCCGCTGGGGTAAAGAGAGCTGGGCCACGGCTGGTCAGGCCGGTGCCAAATCCACGCGGGACAAACGCTGCGAGGCTGCTGGCCTCCTCCCTCCCCACCAGCCTCAGAGGACAGGGCGAGGGATTGAGGGAAGAGAAGGGAGCCCGTGGGGCTGCACTTACCATACCGTCGGCTAGTTCTCCAGGCTCGCACTGCATAATGGAGAACCCCATCCATCCACACCAGAAACCAGCTTATACAAAAGCCCAGCAAAAGTCCCAGCATCAGATCAATCTCTTGCTTGGTTACATTGTCAGTCACAAAGTAATTCTCCGAGGAGTCCACCACTGACTGATCCCCATCATACGGAATAACATAATGGACATGATGCCTGTTGCAGGGAACAGAAACAGGGAAAAGCATCAGTGGAGAAGAGCAGAGTACCTTTTCCGTCCAAAACCTGCTCTTGTGGCCTGGGGCTGGTTTAACACCATTCCTTCGAGTTTCTACCAACACCCCTGGGAGCAGGAGTGCTGTCTGGGCTTTTTGTGCTTATGTCAGCAGAGGAGTTGGCAGAGAGCGAGGTAGAAAAGTGTAGAAACCTGAACCCAAGCCTGGAGCTCGTGTCGCGTTCCTGACACAGGCCCTCTGTGCCTAAATTCAGCATCTGTAAAACGGAAGATAATATTAAGGGCAGCATGAGGCTGGAGTGGCCGCACTGCCGCAGGCAGAGGCAATACCACAGCTCCTGGGAGCGCACAGAGGCTCAGAGTGCGCCCGGGTGGCCCTGCCAAGTGCAGCCGTAACCTCCTGCCTCACAGGAGCCGGAGAAGTTCTCTCTGCCAGTGCCACCAGCTTAGTGGCACTTCTCTGGAGGTGTGATGTTCTGCTTAACATCCCATCTCTCGGAGTAGAATGAGAATCGTCTCGTTCACAGATTAGAGCAGCGCGTGTTTACAGCCCCCGAGGAAGCACCTGAAAGCACGCCTTGAATTCATCCTCAGGAGGTGGCTGAGACCCTGCAGAGTATCACCCCTGGACAAGTCCTGCAACCTCTAAAACCATCTCAAGTTCTCCTACCGCATGACTGGGGTGAGTTGGGGAGCAGCACCTCACCCTCCTCAAGGACCAGGCAGCAGTTACTGCCCGTGGCAGATGGCAAGAAGCCTCTCCGAGCAGAGGAGCGGGCAGAAGCCTCCCCCCAGCACCCCGAATGCCACCTGGGGTGACTCAGAGCTCCCTCCTGCAGCACTCTGCCTCAGAAAAGTCTCCCAGCCTGTGCTGCAGCCTGCCTCCCACCTCATCCCACCCTCCATCTCTTCCTGGGGACGCGGCCAGAGGCTTGGCCTGACCTTGCATTATAGCCAGTCTCCAAAAATGAAAAAAAAAAAAACAAAAACCAGAGCCATCAGCTTAGTGCTGTCCCCGAAGAGCCCAGCACAGGAGCGCAGCAGATGCGCTGCCTGCTGCCATGCACGGCGGCGTGCAGCGGGGAGGGCTGCTGTGCCACGGGATGGAGGGGATGGAAAGGGATGCAGGGCCCTGGAGCCCTCGGGCACTTCTCCCTCAGGGGTCCTGGAGAGGCTGGCCCCATACCTTGTGCCAGAAGGACAAGTAGGTTCATTTGTGCCACGAGATGCTGGAGCCCCAGCTTGGGATGATGCTGAACTGCTCGCAAGACCCTGGTTAACTTGGGAAAAGCAGGAAAATGGCGGGGATGGAGCGAGGGAGTTGTAAGTAGAAAAAAAATAAGGCAAGGCTGTGGGGGCTGAATGGGAGGGGACCGGCTGTGACAGGCTTGGGGAGCAGGTGGGATAGGAGGATCCCAGCTGACAGGGGATGCAGGATGCAAAGTAAAACTGGAAGCAAGTGGCTCTGGAGCCTCTGCACCAGCTTTAAACGGCTCTTAACCTTCCCCGAGAGCAGCCAGGAGGCTGCCCGGGCTCCGTGCTTAGCCATGCTGCCTCCTCCCGCTGCTCGGGCAGGTGCTGTCGCCGCTGCCGGGGAGCCCAGGAAGGGGCAGGCAGGCAGGGCGAGGTGTGCTCAGCAGCCCCAGGTGCCCGCATCACCCCCCGCGACAGCCCTGGCTCTGCAGCACCAACGCAGCCCCGGTGCCCCCAGCTCAAGGTCAGGGCACAGTTGCATGGGGTCCCCCCAGCATCGCCCACCCCCAGCAGCATCACCGACACTCACGGCCTCCCACATCCACGGACCCAGCCCTGCTCCCACCAGCAGGAGAGGAGGCAATCGCTGGAGGCCTCTGAATATGCATGAGGTGCAGGTTGCTCAATAATCATGCCTGAGAAACGTCCAAATATTTACACAAACAAACCTCCACTCAAAGGAACCTACTGAAAACAGCCCTAATCTCAGCAATGACTTAATGGAGGCCACCTGCACCAGAGGCACCAGCTCCCGGCGGATCAAGGCACGCAGGGCTGGGGTACAACCCGGCGCCGTGGCGCGTGGCGGGTGGAAAAGGCTGCCCGGATGGGAAGCCCGTCCAGGCAGGCTCCGGCTGCCCAGCGCCGCTCCCCAGTCCCACTCAGCAAAGGTCCCAGTCCTAGGGACCACACCGGGCCAGTAACAACACCCAGGCCAGCTCTGCTGGCAGCTCAGCGCGACGCGAGGCTGAGGGCAGGCCCCGCTCGTGCCTCCTCTTGCTGGTGGGTTTGTAACCAGAGATTTTTTTCCCTAGTTTGGCTAGGGAAAATCGATGGGGCAGAGGGCGTGCGAGGGAGGGCTCCCAAACAGGGAGCTCTCAATCAAGAATGGGAAGGCTCCCGTGAATTTTATGAGCACTGCCCAGCAGCTCTGCAGAAGGGGAAAAGCAAGCCTCACACATAGCTGCCATGCTTCCCCAGCCACCGCCAGGGCTACCTGGCCCTTAACTTACTTCCTTTTGCTTCTTGCAGTACAGACACGGCCTAAGGGCTGAGTCCACCAACACCTTCAGAGACCTAGACTCCTTGAAATGACCAAGAACTGGAGTGCCTCAGCAGGAGCTGGTATGTACCTGCCGCCTCTGCATCGTGTCACAACCACGGGGCGAAAGCCTCCCCCTGCAGAGCACCACTAGCACGCAGCCATCTCTGGGGCTGAGAGAAGCAAAACTTCACAGACACGTCAAGGACAGACCCGTTCTGAGGAAGCAAGCGCAGAGCTCCCTCCACACACGAGCTGGTTTTCACACAGGGTCTCAGCCCTGTACCAGAAGAGAGTCCTGGAGTCCACTCCTCCCGCTGCCAAACTTCTCCCAGGAGCAGGGACGTGCCCGTAGCACTCACACGTGTGCGCACACACACACACACCCCCCTCCCCGTGCAGCACAGCCAGCACTGCAGTACCACGGGACACAGCACTCTCCTCACACGCTTCACAAGAGGTTTTCCCCACCGCACAGGCTGCTCTCTTCACAGCTCTTGTTCTCCGCTTGCAGGGCCTTGAGGGAAGGGACACAGTCACCTCTTCCCTGCCTTGTCCCTCTGCTCAGCGCAGGCTGACTCTGCACACTGCAGTGGGATCTCCTCCAGCTCTCCCAGCTCCCTGTAGTCATCACTGGGCTGAGTGGCACCTTGGGGGCAGCAGTAAGGGTCTGACACTCCTTCGGTGCTTGCAGCTCCCTTTCCGCGTGCAGGGGACTGTCCCCAGAGTCCAGACTCAGAGGTGAAGTCCCTGTTTCTGCCCTGTAGCTTCCATAAAATCACAGAATCGCAGAAGGGTTGAGGTTGGAAAGGACCTCTGGAGGTCATCTGGTCCACCCCCAGCTCGAGCAGGGCCACCCAGGGCCAGTTGCCCAGGACCACGTTCATGTGGCACCGAAACATCGCCAAGGAGGGAGACCACAACCTCCCTCAGCAACCTGTGCCAGGGCTCCGTCACCCTCGCAGGGAAAAAGTGTTTCCTGCTGTTCAAGCAGAACCTCCTGGGTTTCCGTTTGTGCCCGTTGCCTCTGGTCCTGTCGCTGGCCCCGCTGCAAAGAGCCCGGCTCTGCCTTTACACCCTCCCTTCGTGTATTTACTGTATGTAGGTCCCCCCTGAGCCTTCTTTTCTCCAGGCTCCACAGCACAATGAGTCAAGACCTCTGTAGGTCACACAGATCTCGAGGCTGCAGATGGAGTGGAACAGACAGAAACGCAACGTTACCAGCTCTGGGGTGCAAGTGAAGTTGTCAACAACTATTTTCAATGCAACAGCTCTAATGTGGCTGCACCAACACCTCTGCAGAGCCACAAGGCGCCTCTCAGACAGATAACGGAGCGGGGAAGCTCCAGGAAAGGATGGCTGGTGGAACCTTTTCTCACGTGTATGGGCCAGGCACACAAAGGGACCACTGGCCTCCAGCATTCCATAAGGAGGGATTCGGGCCCCGCAGCATCCCCGTGCCAGCCCTTTGGCTGCACAGCCTGGAGCACCGCAGGACAGCTGTGCCCCGGGGAGAAAGGCGTCAGGCGGTCCTGTGAGCCACCAAATCGTCCAAAGACGATTCACGCGAGGCAAAATTCAACAGAAAGCAAAAAACTTTTACCTCTCTGGATATGGCAACTTCATTTCCCAAGTATCAAAGTTGGATCCCAAGTGCAAATTTCCTTAAAAGAAAAGCCTGCTGTCTCTAATGCCCCCCCCGGAAAGCACTTGGGGCCCTGCACCACCACCTTCCAGGCAGCTTTTGGGAACCCCGAGTTCTCAGAGTACTTCTACGCAGTGGAGATGCCAGCACTAGGTTTCCACTCTGCAGAGTTTTCTGGAAAGGGTTTAGCAAAGCTCAAGGAAGATTAATTTTTTCCTGCTAGTGCAACAGTTGGGAGATCTGGGCCGCGAGGATTTTTATGCTTTGTTTTGGCTTAACCACATTGAGTAGTGGCACTGAGATGGGGAGGAGAACAGGGACAGACCCCCAGAAGTTTCCTGTTGCTGCTCAAGTCCTTGGGGATGTTACAGGACGGATTCAGAGACACGGGCACATCAGCACAGCACGTTATTAATAGTGTGCAAAGGTCCAGGGTCCCCACCGCGTATCGAGGGAATTGGAAACTGGAACGTGGCCTGGATGGCTCTGGGGGCTGGATCCAGTGAGGGAACGTATCACCTCTAAGCTGAGCGTAACGTGGGTGCAGCAAGGCACCACCAGCTCCACGCCAGGCCACTTCCAGGGAGGACAGACAGTGCTGGAGAGCAGGCTCTGGTGGGGCAGCTCCTCAGAGCAAATGCTTTTGGCCAAACCTTGTTTTCAGAAATGTGGCCATCCGGAGGCTGACATAACCCCCCAGGCAGGGCCTGTTTCACCAAGGACCTGTGAGAAGAGATGAAAATCACCTTCAGCCTTGCACCACCTCAGCCAGCAGTCAGAGGCTGACGTGGGTGTGAGGACTCGGGGCTTCACAGCACCCT